CTCTTTCTTCCTTCATTATATCAATTATACTTTATATTATATTAAAATACGATGTGTGTGCTACAGATATTTATCTTCAGATAAAAATCTTTATCTACAGATAAAAATCTTCTTAATTAAAAAAATTACTCTTTATAGCAATATAATCCAATCTGTTATATTATGTTGATTATTTAAGCAAATTGCGTCGTATCACTATCGCAAATGTACAGAAGAATATTAGAGATAATAAGAATAAAAGCAGAGTAAAATAAAAATTTATCAAAATATCGCTCCAAAGACAATTACTCCGAGATTGATGTTTAGCCTATTATAGAATTTCGTTAAAGCGGAATTAGCCGAAATGTCCGAAATGATATGAAATGCCGCGAATATCCAGGCCCAACACATTCCTCGAGATCGAATTAAGCGATTGAACGCGATAATATGTAAATACGTTTGCCCAAATTACACGGTAATCTGTCCATCACGTATCTGGGTCAAACCTGGGCGCAATCATGTGCGAGCTAAATCGAAACTCGAGCGATTTACAACGCTATAAAGAAACTTAAGCATCCTCAAATGTAAACCGAAATATTAGAGAAACGTATAAAATTATCACAAAATTCTAGATGAAAATTATTAAAAGTAAATTACCACGAAATATTAATGAATTTTCCATTTTATACGCGACACTTATCCTATACATCACACTATTTCACCCACAAATATTTTATTTGTTGAAAAAAAAATTCGATGCAAAGACATCCGCAAGCATTCCTCGATGATCAATAGAGAATCCTCGGATTAAGAATTTCCGGAAGGAAAAAGCGTTGAAAATGATCAGAAATTCTATACAAAAATTATTAAAAGGAAATTATCACGAAATATTAATAAATTTTCTATTTATACAGGATGTCCCAGAACTGGCGGAAAAGTTTTTAATGGCAGATTCCTGGTATCATTTGGAGACGATTTTTCCTTAGTAAAAATGTTGAGGGAGGCCATAATTTTTAGCATGTTCTCAATTTTTATTATTATGTATCTTTATAACTAAGCCTTATATTAAAATTCTATTAAAGCAAACTCTACCTAAAATTAACTGAAGAATGTAGTTCTGTTAATATTTTATTTTAACAAGGCTTAGTTTCCAAAGAAGCTTTATTTTCAACTGCTTATAATTTGAAAATGATTGGTGTCTCGACATTTTCGCTGAGGAAAAATCGTCTCCGAATGATACCAGGAATATGTGCATGCCATTAAAAACTTTTCCACCAGTTCTAGGACACCTTGTATATACGACACTTATCCAATCACAAATACTTCACTCGCAAATATTTTATTCGTTGAAGAAGAATTCGATGCAAGAACATCCGCGAGCATTCCTAGATAATCGATAATCCTCGAACTAAGAGTTTCCGGGAGAAAAAATCCCAGGGAGATCGAATAGCGACCCTAAAACGAGATCATAAATGCTTTATGTCTTGTTGAAATGTGGGTGTGGGGAAAAAGAGAGTACAAGACGAATAACGAGACGAAAGATTAATTCCACTTGAGAAGGACAATGCCTCCTTTTTCGTGTTCGCCCAATTATGGAAGCGCTCGAGCGAGGTTGTAAGGATCTCGGGCGCCACCCGGGAGATAAAGGATATTTCTTTGCGAGGACTCGCGAAGGATCTCCGCGAAACGACGATCCTATACACGTAAGGACTTGGACATTCGCTCGTCTTCGTCGCTCAAGACAAACAAAGAGGATTTCAAGAGAAGGGAATTCACTCTCTCTCTTAAACAATTCAGTCAAATACTCGAGCATAATTTGCATGTTCGAATGTGATCGTTTGAGAAAATATAGACATGTTCTTCTCCGAAAATTGTGTTTATCTAGAAAGGGAGAAGAGAAAATATCCGAATAAAATTTTAATTTCTTTTCGATAAACAAGAAAATTTATTGAACTCGAATAAATATTTATTTCAATACCGCCTTTATAAATCACATTTATTTGAAATTAATAATATTGATTTGATGCGAAAAAATATTTCATTCTTTTTTCAAAACAGATAAATATTTATTTATTTCAAATAAATGATTTATTAAACAATTTTTTAGGATATATAAAGAACAAACGTCGCGTTTAATAATAAAATCCGATTAAGTTCTTTTTCAAAATTAATAAATTCCATTGAAATCCCCGAAGAGGAAAGGATAATTTTATTAGGATTGAAATTCTGACAGAGTTCTAGTTTCGCGGATTCTACTGTCAGATTCATGCAAAAGCACTTATATATTCCTGCGAATAATTCAACAACCGTCGTCCCGTCAGAGCCGCGACAAATAGTAAGATATACATTCTTCGTATCGGATTTGTTCCTCTACAAAAAGCTCGCTGACATTATATAGGAAACATTCTGCAATAACGAGAGAAAGAGACGTCAAGCTTGTCGCCGACCGCAGTCGCTCCTTATTCGAGAACTTCTTTTCCCATTCTACGGCAATTCATATACGATTTACAAGCGAGAACAACCAAATCCCTCGTATAAGATCCAACCGAAAGATTAGCACCGTGGGTCCATCAGCTTCGTCTCGCTAATCCCTTTTACTTTGGTCACTCTCCCGCCTCTCCCAGAGTTCCCATGCTAATCCGAAACTGAAGGAGGAGCGACACAGGGTGCGCAACGTGACTTTTGTCAAACTGCTCTCCCGATAGAGACCAAAAAAGAGAGAATATTCGTCGGGACGGAATAAGTTAAACGCGCTCTCGTGTATATATATATATAAGCGCGTGGGGCGCCGCGGGATGAATAATAATGAGGGACATTCACGGAGATGTGGAGAACACCTCGTCGGGCGCCTTTTCGTAAAAAGGCCGTTAAGGTGCTACCTTAACGATCCACGGGGCCCCCACGGCCGCCGCCGCGTCGCGGTGAAAAAGGGAGATCGAGGGCCTGCACGTGGAATGCAGACACGTAATGCTCGCAGAATGCGCCCGGGCCGCCGACCGCCGGCGGAATTATTAGTATGAGTGAGAGAGGGTCCTCTCCTGAATGCAGCGGGTCGAATACAGGTCTATACGCGGTGCGCTGCGGTATCGGGTGTAGGTAGGTATGTAACATGTATATATACACACACGTGAGCGCGAAGACGCACAGGTACCAACAGGTACGAACAGGAGACCTGCCGCCGGTCTCACGGGGGCCCGCCGACTCTCCCACTCTTTCATCCCGGTCCTGCTTCGGTTCGCAAGGCAGACCTTTGTTCGCGATTCGACGAGTACGCAAATCGATGCGCGATAAGGGACGAGCGCGATTAGAGGATAAAAAAAAATATATATATATGTATGGTATATATATATAGATCCGCCCCATCCGGAGAATGTGCTCCGAAATGAGAGCCAACTTGGCTACGTCAAGTCGAAACGAGATACTGTAAGACTATTTGCCTTTTTTCGCATACGATATATTCGAAAATCGAGACTTAATTAAAAGCTGAATTTATTTTTTCTTGTATACAGAGAGAATTTGTTCTTGGAATTTACCCTGAAAATCATGGTAAGCGTGGAACAATATGCTGGTGTGGGAAAAATTTTATAAGAGTTTCTCTGATTAATATATATAATATCTAAATAAATACGAAAAAATTTAAATGATTCTTTGTCGAAAATTAAGAGGGATTTCTTATATTCCCTCCCTCAAGTTTTTTTCTCAAATTCTGACATAGGATATTTATTAATATTTTTTGATCTTCCTGTATCGTTATAAGGAGATACAACTTAACCCTTGTTTAATTTTTGTATTTTTAGAATATAAGAAACTCCCCTTAATTTTCGGCAAAGAATCATCTCCGAAAATTTTTTGCACTTATTTAGACACACTCTGTATATACATATATTGAAAAATCAAAACTCGAATCGATTAAAATCCGAAAAAAATTATTTTTCTACAAAAACACGAATCAGCTGTTTGAAGCTCGATGAGGAAGCAAGTGATAAAATTGTCCTACGAATCTCGAATATAAAATTGCAAATTGCACGTGTCGCATTTCGAGGGCGCGAGAAGTCGATTAACTAAGGCGAAACGGGTTGACCGAGGACAATCAGCAACCGCGAATCGATTTCGTTGGGAGGAAGAGGAGAGACCGCAGAGAGACGACAAGGCGGCAATCTGGCTTCTAAGCGAAGGAGATCGATCCTGTCGTCGCGGCGTGACCGCCCGTGTGAGAAACTTTTAATTGCGTTCCTCGCGCGCGAGCGGAGCGGCCCATTTCGTCGGGACTCGGGGTCGAGAACCGGAACGAAGGGACGAGAAATCGCGGCGTAGGTAAGAGGTAGATGGTGAAAGAGGCAGGAGACGAGAGAAGGGAAGAACGACGGCGAGACGAGGCGAGGCGAACGATGGCGCGAGAGAGGGCACATAACTTATGCGTGTTCACCGAACGAAGAATTGTCTCGAGGATGGTAATATGGGGAATAAGGTGGCGCGCTATATATCGTATGGAAGAGACGAGTGTGACGAGTCCGGGTCTCCAAAAAAACGACTACAGTGAAATGGATGTGTAAAAAGATTGCCTATTACTATTCGGTGAACTAAACGGTGTCAAATGTTCAAATATTCCAAATATTCCATATAATGTGCGCGTACTTCCAGAGAGGAAGAGTGTTGATAATATTTCTTGATATTACGACTTTGCGATTATTTTATGCCAAATATTCCATATAATGTGTGTATACTTCCAGGGGAAGAGGATTGACGATATCTATGACTATATAGTGAAATATGGATGTGAAAGAATATATATTATACTATTCGGTGAACTAAACGATAAAAATGTTCAAATATTCCAAATGTGTGCAAACTTCCAAGGAAAGAGTGTTGATGATATCTTTTGGACTTTGCGATTATTTTCTAACGGTGTCAACGTCAAATCGCGACTGATCCATCAACAAAATTCTACGGTCAAGGTGGCCGGGCGGATCGAGAGGGCCGGCCTCCTGTTGAATATGAATATGAAACACTCTCGCACTTACCTTTTGCTGGAGATCCGGACCGTTCTCCATCGCGCGCATAATGGCATCCGAAATGCGAGAGTCCAACTCTCTAACGGCAATCTTGATGTTCAGCTCCAGAGGATTGTTATCGTTGTCCACCGCGGCGATGAGCCTCCCGACCGTGGCCACGTAGCCGGACCACGCGTTATCCAGTTCGTACGCCGGCTCCGTCAGGCAGCCCCTGCAACGTTTATTTGCATTTTTTAATCTCTCTCTCTCTCTCTCTCTTGCGCTCTCGCAACGCGAAGATGCAACGGCTATTATTATCGCGTGATGTTATTACGCGAGTCTATCAAACATCTCTCTCTAATAATTATAACAATCTTTCTGTAACAATTATAAATAATTACAAATCCGAGAAATTGGAAAAATATATATAATTTCCCGATCCGCGCGAGATATTCCAAATAATTATAATAATTATCCATTCGACAACTGCGTTCTTCAACGGGAAAATTAATCGACGAGACCAAGTGTTGCTACTGAAGTACCTTTGTTCGATTGATTTACTGCGCTTTTCATTGTGCCCTATTTGTGCAGATTTGTCAGCACCATTTCGACACCCGTGTTAAAGGGATATTCGTTTCGGAAGTTTTCGAAATTCCTCGTACATCAACCTGACGTGACTCACCTTATTACGTTCATGCAGAAACCGTTGCAGGACCGTACGTCCTTTCCGATTCCCTTACACTTCGGACAATAGGTCATCCTGACCAGAGCGTTGTAGCAGGCCTTTTGTTGCGGGCTGTTGGCGCCTTCGGCGGCAAATAGAACGCTGTCGGTCCGCTCGAGAAAGGTCTTGCCGAGGCTCAGAGCCTGCACCAGCACCCTGGTGGCTTCCAGGCTCTTGCTGATTTTCTTAAATATGTCCTGCGGCACATCGCTGAACGGTTGGATGTCGTCCATTGTTTCGTGCAGACAGGACTTGAACTTCTCGGTGAAATCCCCGCGATTCTGATCCGGATCCACGAGGTAGTGATAGGCGATGGGGAAAAGCCGGGCGAAGAACTCGCGGAAGCGCTCCTGCAACGTGTCCCGGGTCAACGGTTGCTGCAGATCGTCCGAGGTGTTGGCGGACGAGACGTAGTCCACCATCGCCTGGTAGAGCGACCGGATCGAGGGTCTGCTCAGGACCGCCATCGACTGATACACCTTGTCGAACATGAACAGCGTTTTGTTCTCCGACTTTCGCAGCAGAACAATCACCGTCTCTGCAAAAGGAAAGACGCGCTCTCTTTTAATACGATTTATTTAAAGACGGGTCAACAAAAAGTTGCAAAAAGAGTCTTCTCCCTATTTCAATATCGCGCCACTCTCGTATAATTGCGTCGAGAACTTTTACAATCTTTTCTGGAATCGTCTTTCTTCGTAGCAATATATATGTATATATAGACGTCAATCATTTTCGAGTTATAAGCGATTGAAAAGTAGTAAGTAATAATAAGTAATAAATAAAACATTTTTATTAAATTTATGTAGAGTTTACTTTAATAGAATTTTATAATTTAAGGCTTAATTACGATGATGGCAAAAATTGGGAACATGATGGCCTGTCGACATTTTCGTTGAGGAAAAATCGTCTCCAAATTATCCCTGGAATCTGCCATTAATAGGTGTACTAAGCTGGGACATCTTGTATATATAATATTCGAAAAAAAAAGAAAAAAATTTTAGTAGATATAATTCTTGATAATTTTATCTAGTTATTCCAAGACAAAATTATCACACCTTAATAATGCCACAAAAATGCCCCGATTTATCGTTTTATCTTAAACTTATCTTTTAAAGAACACTCTTTCACTCTCCATTTTCGAAAAACTTCTTAAAATAATTTAGAAAAACCTCGCATTTTCCTTTACTTCTTTTGAATATATATATATTAAATTTTCTTTCCTTTTTTTCAAAGACTTTATTATATTGTATCTTAGATTTTAGATAAAATATAAAATAATAAAATAACAACAAAAAGACTTTTCTCTGACAAATATATTTTATTGAAAAACAAATCAATTTTGTATGTTTGTTTTAAAAAGTACCGAAAATGAAATAAAAATAAAATAATAAATAATAATAGAAATAATAAAATGGTAATGATAAAACATGGAAAATAAAATAAAAATGAAAAATATAGAGTTTAAAAAAATTACAGAGAAAGCTCTATAAAAATAATACTAAAAAAATATTAAAAAAATTAAAATATAGAAATTGTGATCAGAGAATTGAATTGAGCTGTCCGGAGACTATACTATATATTGATATATTCGACCTCGTACGTAATTCGTCACAGCGATTTATCCTTGAGTTTCTTTTTTTTTCTTTTACCAGTTCTTTTCGTAATCTAACTCGATCAAACGTTTCCTCATGCAAATGCGCTTACTTGAGATTTCGCGAGAGTGACAAGAGGAGCGTGCTTAAGAGACGAAGCGAAAAGGAGCGCTTAATCGGTAAGCGCATAAAACGAATAAGAAGAAGCTCCTCGATTTTCGCTCCAGTGGCTCAGGCAAGAATCTATGCACATTTCATCACTCTCCAAAAGTGTGCACCCCACGGTTCTAATGGCCCTATTAAAGGAAATGACGAGTGGCCAATAATAATCGAAAGGTATCTTTATATTGATGGTATTCATTATTGAGAATAAAAATGTCAACAGATAATTTTGAAGGCTCTAGTAATTTTTTATGGACCTGTACACATGTTGCGAAAAAAGCAACAGTGTAATACATTATAAAATATTTTATATACTTGATAATTTTTAATAAATCGTAATAAAATCAAAATTATTGAAAAAATATATAATAATGAAAAACTGTAAATTATAATAGATATATAATTTATTTATTATAATATTATATAATATGATATTATAATATGATATTATAATATGATAATATAATGTAATTATATTATTATATTATTAATTATAAGAGAGAAGAGAAGAGTTATAAAAAATATTATAATATTATAAATAGAAAAATACACACAATATGTAATATATGTAACAATATAAGATTTCGGAAGGTGCAAAATTTCAATAAAACTAATTTCCGAATTATTTTAGGAATGTTTTGGTTAAAATATCGATTTTTTCTCGCGCGAAAAGACAACATCGCGATACTAAAATTAAATCGACCGAAAATATACCGGTTCCGATATCTGATTTGTGACATCGAAATTGCATCTCGTGAACGAAAGTCGCGCCATGTAACGGAGTAAAGCGATTTAATTTTTTTTTCAAGATATGTCTCCGTTAATTAAAATTAATGGCATATATAAAAATACGCGCATTGCAATATCTCGCAGCCCATTTCTTTTTCTTTTTCTCTCTTAGGATAGAGAAAACGGGGCCCTTTATATTTTCCTTGAATAAAGCGTGTCGAGGCGGATTATCCTCGCGTTATATAATTGAAACTTCAAAAGTCTGGGTCGCGCGCGACTACTCGGATTTTTTTTCCTTCAATTACAAAGATTCGAGTAAGACGCCGAATAGAGATAAAAATAAATTCGACAATGACCGGATAATCTTTTCGTTTCTATGAGAAATTGCATCGATCTTAGTTAATCAGACAGATATGTAAAACGAGACATTTCATTTATATTAAACCTTTCTGACCCCTTTTTCTCTGTTTAAAAATTCTCTGTCGAAAAATTTTATCGAAAAAATCTTTTTTCTGAATATACTACGTAACGATACTACGTAACACACAAATTGAAAGATCAGGTTTAAAAAAGATAACTGAGAAAAATTTCGACAGACTGATAAAATAATTGAAAAAAACTCTTAAGACATTTTCTTGAAATATCTCTAAGAGCGATAGAATATCTTATAATCTAAAAATGTCAAGCAGTAGAAAAAAAATGTTTTTCAATAATGTCTAACAGTGCAAATTTTTTGCATAGTCAAGACAAGTGAAAGTTGTTAATTAAGTTGTTAAATATCATGTATTATAAGAGGCAAAAATTCAGATATATTTAAAACCAAACTGTAGTCTATAAATTTATTTGTCACAATTAGACACATGAAATAAAAATTGATTATCAGCCAGAGACAGTAACAAATTATCGACGATGCATGTATTATTAATCTTCTTTATGTCGTTAAACAAAAATAGTGCATACTTCATTTATTGTGTCAAATTAAAGATAGATGCATATTTTTGTGTTATGTTTACATCTTTTTCAGTTGTTTTAATAATTTATCATTTAAGTTCAAGTAACACAATAGTAATATCTTAAATTAACACATAAATGTGTTAAATATTTATTATAAAATTATTAACGAGTACCATTTTTAACGAGAAAACAAATTTTCTTACTGTGTAAATTCTATTTTTTTTAAGTACAATGTTATATATAGCTGCAATGATAAACGTATACATGTTTATTAATTATCGTGTAATTCTACACTTAATATTTGTGTAATTTTACAAATTTTTTTATACAGTGTAACAAAATTACAACGTGTAGCTTAAATAAAATTTAAAGATTTGGAGAGCGAAGGGAGTTTTGGTGAGGCTGCAAAAAATGCCGACGCCATACGCGACGAAGATGCAAATACTTCGCGATGCAACGAGAAAGAGAGAGAGAGGAAATAAGTTTTTCGCGGCATCGAAAATAGCAGAGCGCGGAGTCTGTGCTTGAATTCTAGACGCCGTGTTACCGAGGCAACGACACGCGCTTCGCGTTTCCGCACGCTTTGCCGCTATCTTCCTCTATCTCCGTCCTCCGTCTCTGTCATGTGCACACGCACACGTGTACGTGATGCGTACTGGTTAAGCGTATACACTGATATAAATACCGGACCGACCACGTAATCGAGGTGACTGAAGAGCTGTAAAGCCGAAGACCGATCGTTTGAAAGTTTTTAGAAAATAAGAAAAAATTTTTTAGAATTTTTAGAAAAATTTTAGAAAAAATTTTTAGAATTTGTAGAAAATAAAAAAAAATAAAAAATCTCGATTAAAATAATATAAGTAAGAAGAAGTAAAGTAGGGAGTAATATCTGTTTCGCATTCAAAGTACATATATATTGAACGAGAAGCGATCCGTAGAATTAATTCACAATAATTCATAGCAATGAGGTTTAATATGCAAAGCAACAGGGGGATTTGTATGAGTCACGCGAGTTGACATCGCGGTGTTAATTTCTCGTATGTGAATATTCAGCTCGCGCGCCGTCGAGATAAGCGCTCGAAATAAGGAGTGACATGTTTGCGGCATATCTGAACGAGCGCGGCCGATGCCCAGGAATTAAAAGAGATGGATCGAAAGAGGGAGAAAGAGGATGATCGAGGAGAAAGGAGGGATTCGCACTCTCTCGTCCCCGTATAAGGCGGCGGAGACTTCGATCCTTCGCGAAGAGGAAAGACCGGCAACGCACGAGAGTAAGAGTCGAAAAATCGTCGTCTCTCGCGAAACTTTTTTTCCGACTTTTCTTAGGGTGTCCCGAAAATCGTGAATCATCTGTTAATGACAGATTCCTGGGATCATTTGGAGACGATTTTTCCTCGGCGAAAATGTCGAGGCACCAATAATTTTCGAGTTATCTTTTGTATAGAATAAAATATTGTATAATAAACCCACATTCTTCAATTAATTTCAAGTATTAGAGTTTTCCAAGTATTTTAAAAGTGTGCTAAAAAGCCATTTGAAATAGTGTTCCATCGAAATATATATTTTTTCATTTAAAAATGGCATCTAACAATAAGAATTTTCAACGTGTGTTCTCTGACGTCATAATCCAACATGGCGGCAGGATCCAGGAGCCTTAACAGGATTTTAATTCCAAACTTATTACAAAGATACATGCTGCAAAAATTGGGAGTGCAAATGATAGTCTCTTTCGATAGATGATTCACGAATTTCGGGACACCCTGTATAGAATAAACGCGATGGAGAGACGCGTTTTTTTTTAAGGGAGAGAAAAAGGCACCACCTCTTCCCACCTTTTGTCGAACCTTTATCGGTGTACAACGACCGATGGAAATTCCTATAAGTCAAACGCGTCGAAGGACAAATGAAAGAGCTCCTTAGCGATTCTAATAAAAAAACGCCAGAAACAAAGAATAAAACAGCAGGTCACTCTCTTCTAATACTAAATCACTCTCTCAGTTACCTGTTAGTTGGGATGTGGAGTTTTATACATCCCAAATACAGGTTACGAAAATTATAATGGCGGATCTCTTAAAATGATGAATATCAGTGAAGAGAGAAAACGTTATTAATTTTATATATAAAGAACTACACGTCTCTTATTTATAACAAATAAAGAAATAAAGAAAATTGCCTCTTTTCAACGCTTCGTTTGCCAATATTTATTTGTTCCTATTCGGTCGCTTTATAGTCGAGAGTTTCCAGTTTTATGGTTCTCTTTTTCTTTACAGTCTTTACTCTAATAATTTAATGATACCTTTTGAATATTTATCTCTCGCGAATAAATAAACGTAATTTTGTTCATTTATTTTCTTACATAGAATTCGAAAATATATTTATTTGCTGTTAAATATTTGAAAATGTAATATGTAATTTATTAACATGTTTGTCATCGACTACAAATAATATTATATTAATAATTAAATGCAAATGTCATCTGATATCTATAGTAACAGTTTTTTCAATATTTTGTTACATAAATAACATACATTAAAATGTGTAACAATCACATTATAAAGACTAATTCCATTGATGTCTGTCAATGTTATAAATCGATTCTAACTCAATGGATTATTTATAAGATTATCATTGCAGCAATATAGCATCGTACTTGGAAACAATGGTAATTTTATATCAATAATTAAATGCAAATATTATCTAATATTTAACAACAGCTTTTTCAATATTTTGTTACATAAATGACATTATTTACATTAAAATGTGCAACAGTGCACATGAAAGACTGATTGCAGCTATATAGCATCATATTTGGGGAAAAGTATAGAATCGATTATATACACTGAAAAAAATTTGTTAACTTGACTAAACTTTTCAACTAATTACTATTTTGTTAATTGAATATAGATTAATATTTAAGTCAAATATACGTTTTGTTAGATTTAATTTAAATATTTTAATATGTTCAATTAACAAAATAATATTTTAGTTGAATGGTTTAGTCAAGTTAACAAATTTTTATTCAGTGTACAAACACAGTTGATAGGGTTCCAGCAGACTTAATGAAAAAAATTCCCTGACTTTTTTAGATTTTCTAATTGTAAGATCACCAGAAATTAATTTTTTCCCTGACTTTTTAGTATTATTTTTTCCAAATATACAATTTGCATATATCTATATAATAAATCAATTAAATGTTAAATCATAAAATCCTTAAGATATTTTTGTCAACAATAAAAAGGTTCGGAAGTTAAAAAAACAAAAATTTAAATCAATTATACAATTTGCATTATATACAATAATCGAAACAAACTATTTAAATAATCACCTTTTTCATTTATATTATATCCAATTTTTTAGTTTTATCTTTATCAAACACATTGAAATAAAATAACACGACGATGAAAATATAAATTAACAAACACGCTGTAGATGAATCGATTTTTAACAACACAGAAAATCAGTGTGCTGAGAGTTAAGAAAAAGTTTATATTTATTTAATATAAAAAATTTTTTATTTAATAAAAATTTAAATAGTAAAATTTCCTGACTTTTCCCTGACAATTCCAGATTTACAAAATTCCCTGACAATCCGGTTTTTCAGATTTCCCTGATCGCTAAACACCCTGGTTGATTAATTATTAATAATAATTATCATTTAAATTTCTCAAAATACAAATTAACCGACGTTGATGGAAATAGTTTTGAATCATTTTTGTGTCATAATCACAGCTGATTAATTATTATTAATGATAATCAAATTTAAATTTCTCGAAATACAAATTAACCGACGTTGATAGAAATAGTTCAGAAGAATTTTTATATTTCATGAGTGCATGATTATTACGAATTTACATTCGCACGTTTATCCGCGAAAACGCATTTTGCTCGGCAACGCAAAACGTGGTAGGAAGCCACGAGAAGAGATAAAGTATGTATCTTACCTCTGAGAGCGTCGGCGGTGGTGACGAGGAGACCCTGCAGACTTCTGCTATGATGATGAATCAGATTGTGGAAGTCGGTCCGAGCTTGTTGCTTCAAACGATCCTCCATCTCCTCGCCGCAGCACTTGCCATGACACGCTGAAAAAAAAAGGAAAAAAGAGAGAAGATAAGAGAGATGCTTGACGTTATTATTGCGCAACGTCACCCACGCGTTGAAAGGCTCCCCCTTTCCGCTGGAGGAGCTAAATCAAATTGGAGCACGATTAAGGGAGGAAGCAGGGGAGAAAGGAGGAGCTTGAGTTGCACGTCAAACTACATATAAACTCGACACACCGAGTTAAAAGCATAGTGAGATCCGACCCATATTTGCGAGATCGTTCGAAGGAACGAGGAGCGTAAACGTAATCGAAGCGCGATCGTGTGTAAATCTTTGTAACTCGATCGAAAAACGGAATTTTATTATATCAAATATTGTTTTATCGCGGCGCATACGCAAACGGAATTTCGTTTCAATCGAATTAAATCGTCGAGTTTCCAATTTTATACACACATTTCGTTTGTACGTTTTCGCGTCACCGGAATTTTCGTTATATAATCCCAATATGTATATAATCCACGATTTTCTATTTTTCGAAAGAGAATTTTGGTAAAGATCATCAATAATTTACTAAATTTATTAAATTTTGATGTGAATTGATAAATGATTTTTTTTCTTTTTGAAACAGCAATTAAATATCGCAATTAAATGTAAAGAATAAAAGTGCAAGCATTGTACAGGATATATCTAAATAAGTGCGAAAAATTTCAGATGATTCTTTGTCGAAAATTAAGGGGGGTTACTTATATATTCTCTCCCCGAGGAGTTACATTTTTCTAAAGAGAAAGGTAAAAATTAAGTTCTTATATAAAAAAAATAAAAACTTAATTTTTACTCTTCCTCTTTTAAGTGTAATTCCTCAAGAAGGGATATAAGAGTATATGTTTGTATAAGAAACTCCCCTTAATATTCAACAAAAACTCATCTATTTAAATACACCCTATATATATTTATAATACATAAAATAAATGTTAATTATCTCAATTCAACATATAGTCATCATTTTGGATTCTATAATTTAACATATTAAATATGAAAAATGTTGAATAAATAAAAAGTGTGTCCATCACATCGAACGCGCATGTATTTAGTGTTAATAATATAATCGCGGTTCGGAAACGGTAATAATAACATTTTCGCGCGATAATTTCAACCGAGATCAGAAAATATGCCGCGTCGCAATCGATCGAAATCTCGCGGTGACGTGCATTCCTCTTCGCCTCTGGGGGAACCGGTTTAGCGAACACGAAGCTACATCGAATTTAAAGACCGAGCTATATACATATATATATATATGTATAGTACGAATAAAAATACGTATAACTATATATAGAGACTGACATTTGAATATACAGAAATGTGAATATATAAAAAAATGAAAGAATCATTGTATAAACAATTAAATATAGAAATATAAATATTAATACATGGATATGTGTCAGTAGAGATATGTTGAATATTAGAATAGATACAAATATTATATTTTTAAAATATCAAACTTTTGAAGTAAAAAAATTTTTTGAATACTTTTACAGAGAAATAATAAAAGACTTAAAAATGAGACCAACAATGTTCAGATAAAAAGCAGAACAAATGCAGATTAAGTCACGAATAAAAAAAATAAAATACGTAGTTGTCTGTGACATAAATTTAGATAAATATGTAATACTTGTTTAAAACGTCAATATTTTTTCTTTTTTTAAGAAGAAAAGAAAACATTAACGTCGCATTTATCTAGGAGAACTAGATTTGTAATATCTTTTTTATTTTTAGATTGGTAAAAATAAATTTCTCCACACATGCGTACGCACACACATATATGTTTCGTAAACGAATAACTTGTAAAATTAATGGAAAAAGACGCGGACACGTGTTATGCAATCACGTAATGTCACGTTGGAGTCGGATACGTTAACCAATAGGATTAATAGTTTCAAAGTTCGAAAAAACATCACATAAATCACAAAATCAACAAGGAACTGAAACGTGTGTGAAATAGAGAGAACGAAGAAAAATCGGCAAAGAAAATCGTGTCACGATGAACGATATAGTTATGTAAATGACAGATTCTTCGACGTCGGAGAATCGATAGAGGCGTTAAATTCCTCCTTTGTCAAATCTCATCTCCTCTTGGAGAGTCAATCGCGCGAAACAGAGCTACGATGGTGATTTACAAAAACAAATTCTCCCTTGCATTTTCGAGATATCTAAATTTCGAATGCAATTATATGCAAATATTTGTGATTCTAATTCATTTTCCAAGAGAAAAATTTCCGAAAAGCTTCAGAGATTTTAGCATATAATCAATGAAATAATACACGAGAGAATAAAAATTTGTTTAATCATCACATTTTCAATCATTTGTGAAGAATTATTTGCGTGTTTGAGGAAAAGATACTTGATATCATTTGTGTGTAAATTTATTCACGCAGAAATCGTAACATTTAATACGAAATATTACTATTACATACCGAATAATGTCAATTATCAATATTAAATTAGATATTAAACATTAATTGTATAATATCAACAATTTTAATAGGCACTTGTAATCACACAGTATTATTAGCAAGTGTATAAGTTAATATCGAGAGAACTACACATATATTAATACAATTGAAGTCTGTTATTGGTAATAATTATTATCGAGCTAGTGGAAATTGCATATTGTTATATATCAACATTTTGATTAACTATGAATTATTGGAAATATTAAAAAATAGAAAAATACTGACACATATATGTTATCGATTTTCAATAAAATCATTTTAAAGAAAAAATTGAACTTTATATCGAATTAACTCTGACATTAAATCTATTATCAAAAAAAGAAACTATTTTGACGAACGAACCGTAGCCTCATTTCACGAATAAGTCAAAAGTTCGTCGTCCAATTACGTGATTGTCTGAGAGAGAGAGAGAGAGAGAGAGAGAGAGATCGCTAAATTCGACTGAACGGGGCGATTGTGCTAATAATGTCAATTATTAATGTAGGTAATAGAAAGAGCTAATAAGAGCCAACCGTGAAATATTGTATAAACGCGAATTAAAACATTATATATCTAAATAATTTTAGACACTAAAATTTATCAGTTTAAAATTGAACGTTTCGGTAAAAGTAAAAGAGATTAAAAAAATAAAATTAATTTAGTATAATTTTAAACTAGTAAATAGTGCCTAAAATTATGTAGGAGGATTTTTATTTGCGCTTTTATCTCTTCGTTTGGCTCTTATAGAGTCACTCCTTTTTATTATATATATATATATATATATATTATATATATTATTAAATTTTTAAAATTATATAATTTCTATATTGATATATTCAAAGCCTTGTTATTTTTACTCAATGATTAAACCGCAATATTTATCAATTATATATTTTCTTCAATCAACATTGTTTGACCGCTTTTTGTAATCATTTTTATATTTATCTCTCCTTCATTTTTCCTTCTCTCTCACATTGCAAAGTATGTCCATTTGAGAGAAATGTCAGTTTCACCTGACTTTGATGTCGCTTTCCAACTACTCTCCGGAGGGACGCGTTCACGTAAGTACGTGTTTCTCGTGTGAAAAATGTGACAGAATATATATATATATATATATATATATATATATATATATATAATGGAATGTAAAAATGATACAATATAATACGGTAGAGTGTTTCACACCGCACGAGCGGTATGAAATTGGAGTCGTGCGAAAAAATCCACTTACTTTTCGGAAGGTGATCCCCGGCTGGCACGAGCGTGATGTTCTTGCTGTCGAAGAACGGCCTGATCAGGTCGCAGCTGGCGACGAGCTCGGTGCTATCGTCGCTGGACGTCGTCTTCGAGTGGTGCAAGGATCTCGCGTGCACCGTCGTGCAAACACAGTGACAGCACACGAGGAGGATCGCGAGCAGAGTCGAAGGACTCGCGGAGAGCGCGAGGGCTCGCGCGATTATTTGCATTTTGGCAAAATGGCTCCGAAAGGGAATATGTAAAGAGAAAGAGTGAGAAACAGAAAAACCGCGAAAATTCGCGAGCGCTCTTGCGAGAATCTCTATCGGTTCTCTCGCGCGCGCGATAAACGCCTGTTTTCTCTTCTCTCTTCCTTGCGTTCCTCCACCTCTTCTTCTTCTTCTTCTTCTTCTTCTTCTTTTATGGATTCGTCCCCGGCGGAGTCATCCACCGTATCGGAACGCGATGATTGTTTGCCGAACGGCGGACGCGCCGTCAGACGGTACGACGACGGCGACGAAAACGAGAGGCGGCAGTGCTGCGTGCACTCGGGGCATGCGGCGCGAACATTTGGTGCGTTCGCGAAACGGGTAGGGGGAAGAGGGAGAAAATAAGAGACGAAGAATGAGAGAGGTCAGAGACGGCGATCAGCGATTGCGTCCAGGCGCGATCGCGTATATCCAGCTCCTCCGGTGCTCCCGGCACATGCACGGCTCGACCACTTTGCTCCTATCCTTGCACTGTGTAACGCACATATACTAATATTTTATGTGTGTGTATACGCACACGCGCGACGCGCACACACGCACGTTTGACCGCACCGCGAACGCGAAGATGGGAGCGAGACGGACCCGCGTCGATGCACCTCCCCAGAGCGACTCGATGCGACTGAAGCGCCGGGTTCGAGTGTCACGGGGTTATACTCGGCCGGCTGGCGCGAACGCAGCGCCCCCTACGGTCGATTCTGTGCAACTCCTCGGAACGCCGACTTATCGACAAAATCCTTGGCCGATTTTCTTCTTTATCGACTGCTGTTGATGCACTTGTAAATCTAGAAACAAATTTTTTGAATTTATGAATATTTATTATTTAAATATTTTAATTATGCATATGATTAATAAAAAGTATAAAAAAATTTTCTTAAATAAAGATATTAATATAAACAATAATTATAATTATTATAAATAATTAATAAAAAATTAATATAATGAAATAAAATAAATATGTAAATAAATATATATAAGAAATAAATATTAATCGTTTATTGTCGAGTTACAAAAAAAAGAAAGCTACATCAGATTACATTCTGCTGAAAATATGATGAAGATAGTGTCTTCAAATACGAAATTATATAAAAGTAATCAATCTTCTGGTCTGATTGACCTGCCACACGTTCAACGCTTCGTACTCCTCGATGCACTTGTATACGGGATCGGGTTTAAATCCCTTGCTCGTGCATCGCTCCAAAATATCCGACACTTTGACTGTCTTCTTATCACCGGCAAGTTCCCGTATCAGGTGGAAAATTCTATTGATTGGATTCTGTTGCGCGTTATTTACGCGTTGTTCGGAATAGTTGATCGAATGCTTGGACATCTCCACTAATCTGTTCGCCTCTGCAATGTCGTCCTTGTCAACTACGTTTGATAGTCGCAGTCGTGCTAATGCTGTCGACAACCGAAGAATAGCTAGCAGATTACGAGCGGAAGTGAACGTCTTGTCGTGGCTGTTACGCGCTTCCTTTCGCATTTCCACGTAAGAGTCTGCAAAGGATTTTGCACAAATTTTAAATATTATTTATCTATTAAATAAATTTAATATAAGATAATATAAAACATTAATATTTCATAATATAATTAAAGAAAACAAAATAACAATTTAAATGCATACGCACCTACAATATACTCTGTTAATTCTTCTGATACAACAGGTTCTTTTGTCTTACACAAATTTATATATTTTCTTATTAATTTCATATCTATAGCTTCCGTTTCAGTAGGAGGTTGCGAGCAATGTTGATGCACATATGTAATATGTTGTGCTAATCTATGTAAAATTATTTGTGTTCATTAGCGCAGCAAACAAACATTAAAATAATAATTAAATACAAAATTAAAAATAATCAAGTTAAATGATTAAAATAAATAATACCAATTTAATATGCTTGTGAATATGCTTACTTAAGATCATTACTTCGGTCTGCGCGATCCTGGATAAGCCACAATAAGTCAAATCGCGACAACAATGCGGCAGGCAATTGAATATTTTGTTCAACCGATCTCTGCGGATTATATCTGCCATACGCCGGATTGGCAGCAGCCAATATGGACACTCTAGCGTTCAAACGAGCCATTATTCCGGCTTTAGCAATAGATATGGTTTGCTGTTCCATTACTTCGTGAATCGCCGTTCTATCTGCATCTGCCATCTTATCAAACTCGTCGATGCAGCAAACTCCTTGATCCGCCAACACCAAAGCTCCACCTTCCAATATCATTTGACCACTCAGAGGATCCTTCATAATAGCAGCAGTTAAACCCACACCGGACGAGCCTCGTCCTGTGGTATACTGCGATCTTGGAGCCAATCGTGTGATGTAGGATAATAATTGCGACTTTGCTACACCAGGATCTCCCATCAAACAAATATTAATGTTGCCTACAAATAATGAGAATGAGATTATTTTATCGCATTATATTTTTTGATATCTACAGATATTAAAACAAAAAAATGATTATATTACTTTTTAAATTTTTAGATCAAATATTTAATATATAGACATTAAAATATATAAAATTTCGTTGGTAATTATATATCCTCACCTCGAATTTTAATATCGCCCTTCTTCTTGTCTGTTCCACCAACGAGAAGTAAAAGTAATGCCTTTTTCACATCCTCGAGCCCATAAATTTCCGGTGCTAAGGAACAAGCCAACTTGTTGTAAAAATCATCTTGCATCAGTAAACTTAATTCTTGATCGGTCAATTCGGCACTTCCATCGTCTACTGTATCAATGTTATTGAGACATACTATTTTCTGAAATTAAATAAAAGATTAATCAGTCACAGATAATCGAATAAAATTGATTTATCTATTCTTACATGTGCCTCCAAATAAGTCTCACTGGAAAGCGCAGGCCCTGATCTAGCATTGAAACCTGTTTTCAAAAAGGGCAAGAACACCCCAGTAACAATAATGTGATCACCAGGCAAGCAATTTCTCGTTGTTTCGCCTCGACAAAAGATAGTTAAGGATCGTGGTATATGGCCAACTGGAACTTGTTCACTCTATAGAGAAATAAATAAAATTGCAAGAAGTATTTAAATGTTTAAATAAACTTAAGAATATTGAAATAAACTTACATGTTCCTGCAATTTTATCTCTTGAAATTTTATAAACTTCGAACCTTTTGTCTGCAAGTACAATCTGCCACCAGATTTATTCACACGACATCCATCACTTGGACATGTCCGTAGTGGCATAAAACTCAAAGAATGCACCTACAATAATTAGTTTTATGCATAACTCCTCAAATCTCTTTATATATATATTATAAAAATTATGTATTATATTGTTAAATTATGCAATAATTAATACAAAAATATATAAATAAAATAAAATTTAATCTTCTTACCGGTTGGCTCACTTCTGAACCGCATTCATCGCATGTGTATGTTGCTACAACAATCATAGGCTTTACTTCAGTAGTTTTTGTAACAATGCCTCTAACTGTCACCAATTTTCCAATCTTGTCTGCCTTAATATCTCTTACTGAATATGCTTTTGTATCAGAAAAATCTTTAAAATATACTTCACTAAAAATATGTAAATGCTACCATGAGACTTGATTACTTATTTTAACAAATGTTTGAATATAAATTAAGTTTCCTTACAAACGACGCATCAATTCAGGAGCATATTTAACTCTAGTGTCCTGAGCTTCACCTTGTTGTCTATTACGAGCCTGCATTAATGACCGATGCTCCATATAAATATCCAATGTATCTTGAGGTAAGACAACTCTTTCTTTGAACTCAGGTAACATTTCTTGAACCAACTAAATTACATGAATAAAATAAAGTTTATAATTATTTTTTACAAATAACTAAAATATATATAAACTTACATATTTGCAATATGTTTATGTACTTTTGTCTCTATGCAACAAATAAACTTTCACATAGTAAATTAATCTATAGCAATATTTGTGCATACATACATCCAAAACCAAATTAGTGTATCTTCGTGTATTATTAGCAACAGATGTGGCTAGCTCCTCGTCAAACGATTGTACATCATCCAAATCGATTTCGAAACTAATTTGTTCTCTGTGAGCTATTTTGGTAAGCTGCTGTCTGTATTTAAAGGTCTTATTTTCGGTCTTATCATCCATTGTTACGAATTCCAGAAAAAAAGTCTTGAATTGTTCTAAAATAATTATTTATTTTATATCAAATCTGTTACTTAATGTAGATAAAGATTAATAAAAATAATTAATCACAAATCAGATACATAACCGGTAATTTCACAGAATTGAGAAATTCTATAAAAACGTAAAGTCTCACCTCTGTCTTTAATATAATCTCTCGCCACTTTGTTCGCCATTTTTAAACGAATATTGAAAACACAATTTTATCCGAAATCCTTTTGCAACAAATATAATTTTCTTCAACGAATATTATGGTTAACGAAAACTTCTCCGTGATTGCCTTCCTTTCCCGCGTAAATTATAAACCACGAGTTATAAGTATATAGACGGAAAATTATAGAAATAATTCGAGCGACAAGCATGAAATCTCTAAAAATCGCTATTGGTCCGAATTGTTTTGGACAAGCGAAAATGACGTCACACGATTGGCTGTCAAATAAAACATTTTTCATATTCGGTTCGATTAGATTGATTTTCGAGAAGTCGGCGTAGTACATACATACATATATATATATGAAAACGTCATATTGTTTAAATTAATTTTTCTTGAAAATGTGTAATTGTAAGCTTTACGCTTTATCTCTTTATTGACAAAACATTTCTATTTTAATATTTAGTAAGTCATCTTTATATAATGATTTTTGAGCTGAAAAATAAATAATAAAATATTTTAATTAAAAGCAAATTTAAAAAATATGTATATAATTTTTTGATATATTGCTCAATGTTAACGTCATAAAAATTATAACATTCGAATTACGCTACGCGCGATAAGATGCCTTTTCACGAGTCGCGGAAACCGATTGTTTGAGCGACAAAATGATCATGTAACATAACTTTTGTCGCTGAACTAAACAGCGATAATTTTTGTTCATGAAAAGAATAACAGCGCGATAGAATTGATAAAGTTGAGCGTTTCAGCAGTAAAAGCCAGAGCGATGGATCGTTGGTCCTTGTCTGACTCAGCTGTTCGGTTCTCAACTTGGTTCTTATTGTTAGCTGAATAGTTCGGACATGAACCATATCGCGGAATCGAAGCATTTACCGTGCTTTTTACCAAGCGTCACGACGTAGTTTATGTCCACTTTGTCAGGGGACGTGCTAGTACACGCGGCCGCTGAATCCCAGTGACCGTTTTCTCTTGTTTCTCTCTGATATTTACTTATCTATGCTGAATTATTTCAGTTTTCAATATGTAAACACGTGTTTTTCCAGACACTAAAATTCCCATTTTTTTTTTAAAGAGAAAAATTTATTCTGTGTTTGATAGTGTGCTAAAAAAATGGGTAAAGCCAAGAAAGTCAAATTTTCTAAAGGCGGAACCAAGGAGTCGAAAATAAGTTTGGCGGAACAAATAGAATTTGATAAAGCTGTGAAGCCTACAGTTAGGCAAAAGATTAGACGTCGGGCTGATGATGCAGAAGAAGTTAGTGTTCTCATATTTCGTATTATCTCATCTTGCTGTCAAATCAAAAATTAAAAAAGTATACATGTTTTGCTTTGCTTCAATTGTAATTAACACAATTATTATTCTTTCCTAGTACATGGCTCCTATTTTTACAAAATTCTCTTTTGTATTATCTTATCTTGCTGTCAAATAAAAAATATTTTTAAAAAATACATTTTCTGCTTAATTGTAATTAACATTATTTTTTCTCAGTATGTGGCTCCTACTCTGACAAAAAAGATCTTATCGCAAGCCAGACAACAGCAGTTGGAGATCGAAGAGGAAATTGGTCTGAGTAATCCTAAGAGTACTGAGAAGTCGATTGTGAAACTCGACACCGATTTCAGTGACTCCGAGGATCAATCCAGCGATAATGAAGAATCTGTGAAAGATGTATATTATTATGAGCTCTTAAAAACCAATGAGGATGATGAACGTGCTATACAGATTTTCATGTCCAAAGATCCGAAGCCCACAAGAACGCTGGCCGATATAATAATGGAGAAATTTACGGAGAGGAAGACCGAAATCGAATCGCAATATTCTGATGCTGGGATTATTCAGCTGCAAGACTTGGACCCACGAGTAAAAGCAATGTATGAGGGCGTCAGAGACGTCCTAGCAAAATATCGTAGCGGCAAACTACCAAAGGCTTTTAAAATCGTGCCAAGCCTGAAGAACTGGGAGCAGATACTCTATATCACGGAACCATTAAAATGGTCTGCTGCTGCCATGTATCAAGCGACAAGAATATTTGCTTCAAACTTGAAGGACAAGATGGCCCAGAGATTCTATAATCTGGTTCTGTTACCACGTGTCAGAGATGATTTAGCAGAATACAAAAGACTAAATTTCCACTTATACCAGGCGTTAAGAAAAGCGTTATTCAAACCGGCCGGTTTCATGAAGGGAATCCTGCTGCCGCTCTTAGAATCTGGCACGTGCACCTTAAGAGAGAGCCTCATCATCGGATCTGTGATAGCAAAAAATTCTATACCAATTTTACACTCCTCGGCGGCTATACTGAAAATCGCAGAGATGGATTACACAGGTGCAAATAGCATTTTCCTCAGGATATTCTTGGATAAAAAATACGCGCTTCCATACAGAGTAGTGGATGGAGTTGTATTTCATTTTCTCAGGTAAGATATGACACATAAGTCTGTTATATAAGCAGCAATATTATTATAGAAATTATATTTATATTAAATTTACTCCATCAGGTTTGAAAGAGACACCAGGGAGTTACCAGTGTTATGGCATCAAGCTCTCTTAACTTTTGTGCAACGATATAAAAGCGATATCAGTACAGAGCAAAAAGAAGCTCTATTAGGGCTACTGAGGAAACAGTCGCATCATTCAATCACTCCCGAAATCAGAAGAGAATTGCAACACGCGAAATGCAGAGATGTAGAAGTAACAGAACCCAAACCAGAACCAATGAATATTAACGATATTACTATTGTATAAATATTATTAAAAATTTTATATTAAAATATAGATTGGGATCTCTCTTCAAATTGAAATGTATTATCATGAAGAACTGTATAATACACATAAAGCGATATTCAAATAGTACAATTTCCAGTGTAAAAATATATTTTTATTTAATCTGATATATCGATTCCTTAATAAATTAATATTTGTATTATTTTTTACCATTTTTAAGTTCTAAGTAAGTTTATGATAATTTAAGACAAGACATCATACATAAAACAGTCATTTTAAACATAGCACTCTTACTACCACAGTATGAGTTACATCATTACAAATACGTCTTATTCTCAACACATATACACATGAGGTAAAAGTAGAGAAACTTCTAGTACACACTTTAAATTTGACAATAATTCAATGTTATATATAACATAAATAAATCATATGTAAAATTTTGTAATATCATATCAATATATGTATATATTAATATTTTGAAATATATTCATATTAATTATAAAATATATATACATATATATAATTAACATAAATATAATACAGCACTTAGAAAGTAACAAGAAATCTGCGATTTATAAATGAACTGTATAAAATTATGCTGTATGAATTCTATTATTTTCAAAATATCACTAAATATTGTTATATTTCTACATTATCTTTAGGATTCAAAACTTTCAAATCTTTCTGTTTTATATTTACATATTCTACATTAAAAGCGCCATCCATAGAAATCGTTTTTGTTATTCCTTGTTCAGACAGATAAACGTTCGTTTTAATCAGAGGAACTTCGGTTGTGCTCGATTTAATTATCTTTTTATCACGTTTTTTATCTTTATAATTTTTGGAATTTTCCTGTAATTTTGAGCAAGTTTCGCGATCCACGTCATCGACATTTTTAATAAGAGATTCGGATTTTTCAGTTAGCAAATTGCTGACTTTTGTGTCATTTACTTCCTCAATGACGTCTCTCTTTTCACGTTCATTATTCTCTAGAATATCTCTATGTACAACAGGACTTTCTTGTTCGCTTTTGTTTGATGAAGCAATTACTTTGTCTTGTTTTGATTGATTCATCATTTTTAATGCTACAGGTACAGAATATTTGTCATCGTGTTTTCCTTGCAATTTCTCCGACATGTTTACAATTCCATTTGTAAGAGACTCTCTCTTCTCTTCCTTTATTTGACGATTATCGTTCTCTTTAACAAGTACCTCTTCCACAATGGATTTTTGTAAAGCTCCTTTTGATAAGACATTTAAAATAGGACCCTTCATACTTTTCGAATCGTTAAACTCTATTCTTTCCATTTTTGTCTCGTCTTGTTTTTCTTTATGGAATGATTTCTCGGGTATTTCATTATCGATAATCATATTGTTGATAAGAGATTGCTCTTGTAAATTATCTGGTTTTTTCTGTAATATTTCTACATCTTTGTTGCGAGAAATTTCCTGAAAGGAATCCAAATTTTTCTTGCTACTTTCAGCTGCTATATTGATATTCTTGTCTTGAGATTGTTCTTCATTTATTTTTATCTCATTCCATTGCTTTTCTTCCACAACTATTTTATTATTTTTCTCTTCTATACTAATTTCCTTATTTTCAACATTTTCATCCTTTTTCTCAAGTCGGTGTTGCTTCGCGGCAAAATATCCTCCTTGTTAAGCTTCTTTTCACTCTTCTTAAACATCTCATCCTTCGCCATTCTCTGCTTCTCCCTTTCGAATTCTTGCTTCTGTTCCTTGATATCTTTCAGAATTTTTTTCTGTTCCTGCATCATTTGACGTTGCTCTAATTTATGTTTTTCCAACGTTTTTCTGAGTTGCTCGTGTCGTTCCGCAGCTATGGCATTAGCAACATCTCCATCAGCAGCCAATTCAGATTCCTCCTTCTTTATCGCATCCAAATTAATGAGATTATCATTCTTCTGCAAATCCACAGATCGTTCCTTTTCCTCGATTATCTTTATCTTCTCCTCCGCTTTTAAAGTAACGGATTCATCGATTTTAGCGATATTGGTATTTACAGCACCTTCCAATTGCACATTTACATTCTCGTTTAAGGTCTTAACTGTTTCAACTTCCATTTCCTTTATCTCTGGCACAAGAGTGTCTACTGCTGCTTTATCAGACTTTTCGACGTTCTGTTTTTCGGTCACAATCACACGTTCAACGGGAATGGGCGGTTCTTGTCGAACATCTTTCGCTTTTAAATCCGTTTTATCAAGGACATCAATGTTGGGTTTATTAATTGTGTCTGTAACAGAGTGTGAAATCAGAAAATAAAATAACAAGAGAGAGCGAGAAAGTAAGTAAACTTAAATTCGTATAATATTATACCTTTTGCTCTGGGAATGAGTTCCAAACTATTGGCAACATCAGGAATGATATGTAAATCGTCCTTAATTATGTTCAACGGTAGATTGATTTGACCGAGTGGCTTATTAGTCATAGCTAATTTTGCATTTGTAGATTCTTCCATTGCGTATAAATTGGCGTATGTACCGAGCACCATAATCCAAACACCAATAATTAAAATGCCCTATAGACAGTAAATACATATGTATATTATTCATATATAAAATGTAGGAAAAGTTTAAAAAAAAGAGACAAAAATTGCCAGTAAAATTCACTTTACCTGAGCTACTAGTCTTTCATTAGTATTTTTGCTGCTTATAGATATAAAGAGTACTGTTGGAAATATTAAGCAGATCATTACACCAATTGTAGATCCCACGATACCAAGGACAAACTCTATGTTTGGCACAAGAATACCGATTATCAGAGAAATGGTGACTATTGCGACAGTGAGAAATCGAAATCTCGATTCCGACAAATAATTGATAGACGGCTCGTGAGTATATACCTAATATAAATAATAATAAAACGTATTAAGAAATCAGAGCAACAACGCTTACACTTTTACTTATGCCTTTAAAGATTTTTTTTCGAAAAACATATACGTACCCGGCGAAATAAAAGAGAATTCAAGCTCGCACGACATGGAAAAATGACTAGAGGGAAACTGAATGCAACCGAAAATACGAATCCCAGTTTAATCAGTTCGGATGTTATGCTAGGCTCGAAACTCAGTAAAATATTTCCTGCAATATACAAAAAAATAATAAGAGTAACAATAGAAATTGAGAATAGTGGAATAATAATGTGATCAACATTCATTCAGGTGGAAACAAGCTAATAAATTTGATTTATTAGCTCATCTCCTATCTGAACTCGTATTTATATATCAAAGTCTTTTTGTTTTATCATCCTTTATTATAGGATACATGTATAGCAGTTTTGTCAAATTACCTGTGAACGATTGAGTACAAAAAGCAATGTAACCAAACAAGCCAACGCACATGTATACAAGAGTACATATATTTAATGCTCCTCGTACAACGTCGTTCATTTTCTCTAGAGATACATTTGGAATGGTTTCATATATTTCAAACAGTTGAGTTTGACAGAAGAGAGCCATAGAGAATATCGGTAGGCACTGAAGAATACCAGCTGGTCTCCAATAGTTGACACTGTTCCACCAATCTCCCGCAAAGATATGTAGGGTAGATTCACCCACTATCTGTCAATAAAAAAAAGAAAGAGATATAGTTTGTTCCAACTAACACTAATATATTTCATATTCAATATTTTTATGTGAACACTGTGTGTGCAAACTGTATACACAAGTTATACTATACCTTTAATACAAGACAAAGATAGAAGACAATAGTAGCTGTGCAAATGCTAGACAAACTATCGATATTTCGCAACAGCCCAAGGGGTAAAACTATTAAGACTCCAGTGACGATTAGCAGACTGGTGCGAATTTCCCCTGGCGTCTTTTCCATCATCTTGCCGATTATCTGTGGTCCCAGATCACCGACGACGACGAAGTAGGCGATGCACGTGCCCAGCATAAAACCAATAATTAGAAGCTCCGCAAGAAACTTTCCCATGTGACCAAACGTATGAAAGGCGAGTAGTTCGAAGTTGCGTCTCCTTGATATTACGGCCGATTTGATGAGAAAGTGACACGCCAGTCGTGACAGGACGCTGCACAGAAGTAGCACCAGGACGGCCAAGACGATGCCACATTGCTTGAAGCAGAAAGGCATCGCCAGGACGCTCACGCCTATAATGCTGTTGGCGAGTGTCATCACATGCGACATTTGGGAAATCATTCACGAAATCGATTATCCAAGTCTGAAATTAAAAACTCTCCTGTTAAAGTTCCTTCGAGTCACACACATCCCTTTGCGATCAGCTGTTAAAGCTGTCAAAGTTGTTGTTCGTCTCGTGCGATAAATTAATCTTCCTAGAAGAAATGTTTGCGTTGCGCTACTCTTCTCACAAATATCTTGCATGAAAAAAACCAACTTCACGTACGGATAATCGCGGCATAAAATTAGAGAAATGTTATTCTCGTGTGAAACAAAAAGGTTAGAACCGTCGAGTCGCCGATGACGGGAAATCGTGCTCTTGCACGACTAGCATTCATTAAAATTTTTATCATCCTTCAATCAGTTACATTTTGTGCATCACGTTTTTGCGATAACGTAAGTAATTTGTAAACGTTACATCGGCGACGAGGAGCCGTCAAGACGTCAGCCGGTTTTTCCAAACTGTCCATCTTGAATTTCGATATCGAAGACATTTGAAGAATTGAAACGAGATATACTTAACGCGCGTGTAAGACAAAATTTGCTTTCTTTCTTTCTTCTGCTACTAAATATTATCTTATTTTTAATAATTTCAGCTGCAAAGGACAAACTTATATAATATATACAGTAGTCCTCTCTTATGTATAAAATTATAATTAATTTATATATATTAAATTATAATTATATTAAATAACTATATCATAAAAGTTTTTATTATATATTTTTATATATATTTTTATATATATATTAAAAGTTTTTTATATATTTCATATAAATTAATTATTCAATATAATTAAAAATAATTTATTTATATTAAATATATATTAATTAATTATAATTAATTATGTAAATATAATTTGATTAATTTTGATAAAAAATTGTTTGGGCTAAATTTTCTCGCATATACGGAAAACGTGGTATCAATAAAATATCTGTGAATAAAAAATGTTTTATTGATTATATGCACAAAAAATTTGCTAAATGTTTCAAACTTTGTTTTCTTCGGTCATTTTGCTATATATATATATATATATATATTTTTTATTTATTTTTTTTGTATAAATATATAGATATTAATTATAACACACAAAATGTATGTATATGTAAGATTAATTTTTACATAAGAAATTCTTATAATTCTATCTAATTTTTGTCCTTGTTATTCAGTATTTAAGAATTTTCCGCTTCTAATTCCACTTAAAGAAGAAATAATTAAAATAAAAGACTATTGTACACATTTACGATATGTAAACATTTTTACTTATAATTCTCTCCTTTAAGTGATTATTAAAACTAAGCATTTTCAAATTTTTCAGATTTTACAAGATTTTCTGGATTTGTAAAAAAAAGTAAAAACTTCATAAAACTACACATATAAAGATATTTTTTAAATTTTTTATTATAAATATTCAAAAACGACCATTTATATGTGTACTTTTTACGCGTGAACATAAATATGTACGTATATATTACTAGTAATATATATAATATATACCTAGTGTAATATATATATACATATATATACTTTATCTAGATCTCGAATCTACTTATACAAGATGTGTACTTACATCACTTTTTATTTATTTTTTTTGTGTGCGTAGTGTCAATTATTACGAATTATGGATGTGTAAAATCAATGATCATCCGATCATTTAATCGAGTATTTGAAAGCATATCGTTATAAAAGAGTGAATTTATATACATAAAACTGTCGACTCACAATTTTTGTCTTCACATAAAAAGCTTGTGAAAATAACTGTGGGAATGTATAGTCTGAGGACAGAATTTGCAACAAAAATATTGCTTATTGCATAAAGATTGTGAATGCAGGCTCGACTTTTGTTCAAAGCGATATAACATGACATCTAGTTTTTGTTGCAAAAATCGATCCAGACACCACAAATAATTTTTTTATCTCTTAAATTAATGTCTTATTTGATATATATATATATTTAAGATTCTACAGCTATGCTCGAAATGGATATTATATATATCCATTCCTCAATTGTTTATTACTCGCACTTTCTTCCACCTTGTTTTGTCTCTCAAATATTACTCAAAAATATCAACGAAATATTCAATTTCTTTTTCTTTTAGAAAAAGTGAAATTCCTCTAGTTTATTAAGATTTTTGAAAATTGACACTTATGATAGTATAAAAAAATTGAGATTTTTAGTTTTTTCTCAAAGCATGTTAAAAAAGATGTTAAAGATATTCAATTACAATTCGCCAGATGAACTAGAGGAGTGATCAATGAAATATAGTTATTCACATGTTTTTTTTTAGTAATGTAAGATAAAATACATTTTACATTTTCAAAAAGAAACATTATTAGCATTTCAATATCGTTATTGCATGCAAAGATATTTGCTTTAGGGTTAATTTCTGCATTTATATACACAGGAATAGAAAGCAAATTCATTCGACCCATTTCAAAGGGGCAATCAATTAAGATCGATTAATCTAAGTGCTGTTCTTCTATAGTGCATAAATTGCAATTGGTCTTCATCAAACAAATTAATCAATCGCAAATAATTAATAAGACGTATTTTATGCCGAGCACGTGAACAAAATACACGCGGTCGGTGTGTATGTGTGCATTTATTTCAAATTTGATTGCAGCATTGAGACGAGAAAATCTCTAATGTCTTGAACCGGTTATGTCTAATGTCTTAAACCAGTCGTCAATATTTTACGATCTGAATTTAAAATCTGTAAAATTGATGTGTACTTATAAAATTAAAATAAATGTCTGCAAATGGATTCATGGACAAAAATTGATTGATTTATACTATATTTTAACTAATATGTTGTAAACAAATATGTATAAAAAAAATTGTGGTCAGATTATAAAATTCTGACGAATCGATTGAGACACCACTATTACGCGCTAGCGTGGATATTTTAATCATTTTTGTGCGGTATTTTCTATCATCTTTCATTAAAGACCGTTCAAAAATATGCTTCAAAATTTTTAATAATTTACTATCTCGTTCTACACTACACGCTCATACGTGTCAATCTCAATAGAATTACCACGAATAGAGAAAAGATGGTATCTGATACTTCTAAAAGTCTAAACATTTTCGAGAATTTTGATAAATTTCAGAAATAAGGTTTTTGAATTATAGAACGAGATAAAAGAGTAGCTATGAATGACATCTATGTGTCACATGCTGCTATTATTTGAGTTACTTAAACTTATCTGTACTTAATTTAAATAAGAATTTCTCCATCTTTTCAAATGCTCCGGGGCAATCATCTATCAGGGATTCGCTCCGCCGTCTTTCTTAGCCTCCTCATTCGTAGAATTCGTTTTTTCGTCTTTTTCATTTTCTAAATAAAAAATGTTTTAAATTTTATTAATATTTTTTTTTCTTATTTTAATTTGCGAAAATGAAAACAATATTCATGTATAGCTACCTTTTGGCTCTGATTTTATGTCTTCTTCTTTCTTTATATCAGTATCCATTGCTTCCTGACCCTTTTCCAAACGCGGTCGCTTTCTAGATCCCTTTAATAATAATAAAAAAAAAGATGTAAAAATATTTGTATACTTCATTGTTTTGAACTAATCGTATATAACATTACATTGCACATAAAACTCATACCTTATATGATCTATTGTCTCTTCGTGCACCTTCTCCTTCATCTTCGCTGTCGCTGTACTCATTTTCATGTGCAATTCTCTTGTCCAAGTCGCGTTGTGGCAATCGGTCCTCTGGATTCACCTTTTCTTCAGCTTCCGAATCTTCAATAACAGCACCATCCTCTGGAATTGCCTGAACTTGTACACCAGGTGCATGAGGTAACATTCTTAAATTCTCAAACAACCTTGTTCTAGAATTAAAAATACAGTTTTGAAATTAATTTGCTTACAATATAAAAATCAAGACATGTATAGAATTGCAAAATTGCTCACTTTATTTTCTCGAGATATTCAGGAGTGTTTTGGTTTGCCATATTTGAAGGACTAATATGCAGTTTAAAGTCAGGACCAAAATACTCAAAGTAATCATTATATGGAAGTTCATTTGCGATTTCAGATCCCAGAGCTACAGATGTCTCATATGTCCAACATCTGGACACATTCCTGATTGTATAACCACCACCTCCCACCATTAAGAATGGTAAATTATACTTTTTCACGAATTCCACACATTTACCATGACCTCTCACAGTCAAGTTAAAACATCCCAGTCGATCGCCTACATTAAACAATATTTATGTTTTAAAGCTCTGTACATTTATTATGATAATAATTCCTTTTAAAAAATTTTACCTGTTAATGAATCAGCACCACATTGCAAAACGACAGCAGAAGGTTGAAAAGTTTCCATTACTTTTGAAATAATGGGAACAAATATTGACTCGTAGCTTTCATCATCCATTCCATCTCTCAAAGGTATATTAACAGCATAGTACTTTCCCTGTTAATAATAAAAGAAGAAATCATTTATAACTAATAATTATGCTGTAATTAGAAATATAAAAAGTAATAAAATGTTTTGACAAATTTACCTTCCCTGCTCCAATATCACGAAGATCTCCAGTTCCAGGGAAATATTCGCCATATTTATGAAATGAAACAGTCATTACTCTATCAGTTGTATAAAAAGCTTCCTCTACACCATCTCCATGATGAACATCGATGTCAATATACAAAACTCTCTGATGATATTTTAGCAGTTCCAAAATTCCGAGTACAATGTCGTTTACATAACAGAAACCTGACGCTTCGCTCTTTTTCGCGTGATGCAAGCCACCGCCCCAATTGATACAGATTTCTGAAGCTTGTTTGTTGAGTTTCACAGCGGCAGCTACAGACCCACCAGCCGATAATTGACAAAACTCGTACAAACCATCAAAAACAGGGCAATCTTCTCCTACATTAACTATTGCAAAAAAAAAATAAATATTAAAAAATGTTCTTAATTTTAATACTATAACTTATCCAATGATAATATCTTACATCGTTGCATCTGTTTGTTATATTCAGACATGTTGTCTGGTCTTATGGATCTCAGAAATCTGATGTACTCATCACTATGGAATTTTGTCATTTCATCTGCTGTAGCCTTATGAGGCCGCTAGATGGTAATAAAGTAAAATTATATTATAATATTTTGTTAAACATTCAATGAGATATAATAAAATTTTGACAAGACTATTTGTTGCATAAATAAAATATGGATTTTTAAAAATTCTTACATATATTTCCATCTTTCTATAAAGACCATAATTCAGGAGTAGATTATGCGTCATCCTTATACGATGTGGCTTCATAGGATGTCCTTGGCCATAATAATAATTTCCGATATCACCTAATTGAAGAGACACAGCATAAATAAACTAACGCAGCGTTTAAAATATGTAAAAATATAGCTATCATTGAGCAATGCATTGAATTGACAAACTACGGTGCGCTGGAGTGCATTTGAGAATCTGTCACAGTTACTCCAGAAAAACTGTATTAACATTAACAATATTCGTCAAAGTGTGCATTTTCGCGTAAAATATTTTCAGCAACTATTAATTATATACGAAAAATGACCTAATATACTTTATATTAGTCAATAATCTCATAAAATCTTGTAATATTCTTAATTACTTAACCTATAGTTATCTCAATCTCAAACCCAATTTTTCATTCCTATGACAGAATATTCATTCCTATGACATAATTTTATAACAAAAAAAATTTTGTTTTAAATGTAATGTACATAATCATTGCTACATATGGGGATATATATTTGAAAATCCACTTGTGAATGTCCAAATAATACTGCACGTTTTAGTTATTATATGAAGCGTGTAGAGGGTCGAAATTACACAATAATCAATTACAGTCTTGAAGAAACAAAGATAGATTATAAGTAATTAAGCAAGCAAGCGACATGGACTCGATAATGAGCAAAAATTCTCGAGTATATAAATTTATATAGTGGCTACGCATACATATAGGTATGGCCGACGCTTTTGCTTCGCTACGGTCGCGCGACGAAGTAGCTGAGAATCTCTCGGCTTAACGTCGTGAAAATCGTATTATCCATCAGAAAAGGCATGCAGATTTTGGTGTTTCACGGATCAACAATCGCGTCTCGGTGTTTCTATCCTCGGCGAGTCGTGGATAAACGGATGGAACGGTCGGATGCCGAGCTAGATCGTTCGAAGTACACGCGGTAAACGCGAATGGCATAAACACGTTTAACCAGCCTTTCTCTCGTACGTGTACGATGCGTTTCCGTGGATATTTTTCTGTGGTAACTTACTGTCGTAATAGTAGCAGACCCGTTTCTTGCTGTGCGGCTGCAACGACATTTTTACAGGATCCATTTGGATTAAATCGACTAAACACTGTGTGCGGAATTAAACCAGGACCGCGGAGTTGATAGCCGCTCGCACGAACAGGACACAGCGTCATTAACCGACCGTACGCGCATGCGCCCTGAACTTGTACGCGAGTTGCAAGCTTGTCGCGAAGGGAGCGCTGTAAAATGATGCTATTTCGACCATAGATTGTATCCTCGAAGAACGGAAACCTCTAATAGAGAATATATGCACCAATAGACAAAAAATAGAAAATGTCCACTAATAGCGCTCCGGGAATTTAGCCGATCAACTTCGACTTTAAAATTTTTTTTTAATCGTTTGTTGACGATTGTTGGCCTAATTACAACGTTTGTTGGTTCTTAATTTTTTTTTTTAATTAAAAAACAAAAATTAGCGTTATGTTAGCCGGAAAAATCTCAATTTTAATTAAAAAATGATCTAATCTAATAACTAACCTTGTGTTTAACCAATCGGAATGAAAAAATCTTTACTCTTTTTGTCCTGATTGGTCTATGAAACGTTTCTGGAAACATCCTTGACTGCTAATAGCAGACTACAAAAGTTGTCAAATGATTTTCGGCGGCTGGATATGTAGCCGAAATTTTTATATTTGTATGATTAGATGACATAAACTTGCAGGATGTCCCTGCTAATTCGAAGATGTGGACTCGATAATTATTGGCGATATATGAAACTTTTAAATCTCACAAAGATTCGTGAATTACATGTCTCGTCATTAATTAACCTGAAATCTGTGAGAAACTTGTGCAATTCGCACGTGAATCCAAACATTTTGAACGATAAAATTAAAAGATGTTTAGATTATGTTACGAATGAATATAAGAACAAATCCTGGAAGAATAATAAATTCTTCGAATTTATCAATTTAAATACTTTTGATGGCTTGTTGAACCAAAGAATGCATCTTTTAGAAAATCTTCAGAGTTTGCAGGATCTAGGTGAATAGAGAATTCGCTTATTCAAATGATATTGTTTTATTTCATCTATTGTAGATAATGAGATAAATTTCTTTTTTCACAGCAAAACAGGATATAGAGATGAAAAAGTTAGCGGAAGAGGAAGAAATATTGTACAAGGAACAGTTGAGCAAACTCGATGAGAGATTATTAAACAATATATTGATCAACATATGTAAGGAATCTTACGATAGTATCATCGTCGAGATAACAGCTGGTGTTGGTGGTCAGGAAGCAATGTTATTTGTTAGAAATCTGCATGATATGTATTTGGGTTACGCCAAGTACTTAGGCTTAACTTATGAAATGATCAATATGGAGACAAATGATAACGATGGCATCAGACATGTCAGTGTTATGATGTCTGGTGATCAAACCCAGAAATTCCAATACGAGGGCGGTGTACATCGTGTACAGAGGATACCAGCCACAGAAAAATTAGGCAGAGTACACACTAGTACCGCTTCGGTGGCGATTTTACCAGCACCGTCAGCAGTACAAATCACAATTAATGAAAAGGATCTAAGGATAGAAACAAAAAGAGCGTCTGGTGCAGGCGGTCAGCATGTGAACACTACGGATTCCGCGGTGAGAATCACCCATTTGCCGAGTGGGCTGTTTGTAGCATGTCAAGTGCATAGATCGCAAATCAAGAACAGGGAGATGGCAATGACTAAACTGAGGAGTCTGTTGTATGAGCAACAATTAAACAAACAGACATCGTTTATAAGTGAGTTGCGACAGAAACAGATGGGAATGAAATTTAGAAACGAGAAGATCAGAACATATAACTACAATCAGGATCGCGTGACCGATCATAGACTACAAAATGGAACTGTCTACAACTTACCAGAGTTTATGCAAGGTGGAGTAGCACTGGAAAAGTTAGAGGAAAGATTGCATAAGGATATACAGATGAAAACTTTGTTGGAAGTAATTAATAAGTTGGAGACACAATTAAAGTGATAACAATTTTCTCTTGAATTTTGATTAAAAGTCTTTGTTTTATATATAGGCAAATCATTGTATATAGCACGTTGTAATAAAATCTATATAATGGAAAAAACACATTTTTGATCTTGTAGTCAAAAATATTTTCTTTCCTAACAGTTTCCTAGCATTATTTCAATGATTTATTCAATAAATGCATAAGATTTTTTATTTATTTACTTTTTATTATCTTTATGTAAGAATCATTTTTATATCAATTGTGTTTTAAAGACACATCTTTGCATAAATACAAAAAGTATAAATACAGTAATATACAAAATTTTCAAGATTATAATTTCATTCTATAGATTACATTGGTTTATTACGGATTATATATAATAACTTCTCTTTACTTTCTCTCTTACAGTTGTGAAGACATACATGTACATCAGTGACAAGAGTTACTTGTCGCTGAAATACATAGAATTCTTTTATACCTGTCTTCGTCAAAACTAAATAGACACATTGCACACATGATGCTACCCTCTGAAAATACTTCAGTATAGACAGCATGATTGCGATCCTAATAAAAAATGCATCAATGTTCCTTCACTTACATTATTTAAGATTATATATATATATCTAATTTTTTAATAAAGATTTTTGTACTTTTACAAATGTGCTGATCCTGAATCATTTATCAGAGATTAGCCCCACTGTCTTTCTTTATTTCCTCATTATGGAGATTTGCTTTTTCGTCTTTATCATTTCCTAAATAAAAACGTTTATATAATTATTATAGTTTTAATAACACAATATAATATATATATGTGTGCGTGTGTGTGTAATTTATAATAATACCTTTTGATTCCAATTTTACATCATCTTTTTTATATTAATATTCATGATATGCATATTCACATCCTGGCTCTGGCCTTTTTCTAAACGAGGTCGCTTTTTAATTCCCTTATTAAAAAAAAAAGAAATAAATAAGGTATAAGAATTCGCAATGTTATTCATCATGTCATATGTATAATATGAAAATTAATTAATTTATTATATACAAGATACTTTTAAAAAATTATTAAAGATTTTTACTTTATATGATCTGTTATCTCTTCGTCCACCTTCTCCTTCATCTTCGCTGTCACTGTATTCATTTTCATGTTGTATCCTTTTGTCTAAATCATGTTGAGATAGTCTGTCATCAAGATTCATCTTTTCTTCCGGTTCAAAATCATCGACAATAGCACCATCCTCTGGAATTGCCTGAACTTGCACGCCAGGTGCATGTGGTAGCATTCTTAGGCTTTCAAATAATCTTGTCCTACAATTAAATATATAATTAATATTTATACACAAACTAATCAGAAATACTGACTTATAAATACAACTTACTTAATCTTCTCAAGATATTCGGGAGTATTTTGATTTGTCATATTTGAAGGACTAATGTGCAATTTAAAGTCAGGACCAAAGTATTCGAAATAATCGTTATATGGAAGTTCATTTGCGATTTCAGATCCCAGAGCTACAGATGTTTCATATGTCCAACATCTGGAGACATTTCTGATTGTGTAGCCCCCACCTCCTACCATCAAGAAGGGTAAATTATATTTTTTTACAAAATCTACACATTTACCATGACCTCTCACAGTCAAATTAAAACATCCCAATCGGTCACCTGCATAGATTAACATTTAAGTTAAAAGACATCTTTATAGTAATCATTTTATCATATCTTCTTATTTTAACAAATCTTACCAGTTAATGAGTCGGCACCACATTGCAAGACGACAGCAGAAGGTTGAAAAGTCTCCATTACTTTTGTAATAATGGGAACAAAAATTGACTCGTAGCTTTCATCATCCATTCCATCTCTCAAAGGTATATTAACTGCATAATACTTTCCCTGTTAATAATAAAAGAAGAAAAAATCATTTATAACTAATAATTATGCTGTAATTAGAAATATACAAAGTAATAAAATGTTTTGACAAATTTACCTTCCCTGCTCCAATATCACGAAGATCTCCAGTTCCAGGGAAATATTCGCCATATTTATGAAATGAAACAGTCATTACTCTATCAGTTGTATAAAAAGCTTCCTCTACACCATCTCCATGATGAACATCGATGTCAATATACAAAACTCTCTGATGATATTTTAGCAGTTCCAAAATTCCGAGTACAATGTCGTTTACATAACAGAAACCTGACGCTTCGCTCTTTTTCGCGTGATGCAAGCCACCGCCCCAATTGATACAGATTTCTGAAGCTTGTTTGTTGAGTTTCACAGCAGCAGCTACAGACCCACCAGCCGATAATTGACAAAACTCGTACAAACCATCAAAAACAGGACAATCTTCTCCTACATTAACTGTAACAAAAAGAAAATATGAGAATGTGTTGATATTAATAACAAAATACTTTCAGCAAGAATGTCTTACATCTCTGCATTTGTTTGTTATATTCCGTCATGTTATCTGGACGTATTGATCTCAGAAATCGGATATAATCGTCGCTATGAAACTTTGTCATTTCTTCTTGCGTAGCTTTATGAGGCCGCTAGATAATAAAATATATGATAAAAATATTTATGTTTAACAATTAAATATATTATTAAATATATACAATTAAATATATTTGTAAGAAATTATGCTTTTTCATACAAATAAAAAATAATAATAAAATGTTCTTACATATATTTCCATCTTTCTATAAAGGCCATAATTTAAGAGTAGGTTGTGTGTCATCTTTATACGATGTGGTTTCATAGGATGTCCTTGGCCATAATAATAATTTCCAATATCACCTAGAGAAATAAAATAATACATGTTGCATGTTAATATATAAAGAAATTGACACAACATTTAAAAAGCACATAATGTAATGCATTAAAAGATGGGTGTTAACAGAAAACTATGGTACACTGGAGTATACTTGAGAATTTTTTGCAACTGTTTATAAAAACTATAAATTTTCATTGTTTGTGAACTATCGATTCACATAAAAAAATATTTTCAGAGAGCAAAATTATATCGAGAAGTAACACATCAGTCTGTTATTCAATCATTTCGTAAAATCAATAAAGTATATATATTTCTTATGATTAAATTTTCACTCATAATGATGAACTGAATTTTCTTTGCTATAAAATAATAGTTAATAAGAAATTATTTTAAATATAATTTTAAAATATAGTATTTAATTGTTTTAAAAATTTGAAAAAGTGTAAAATTGAAAATTTAGAAAATTGTAAAAATGTTTATATATATCACCTTCTTCTAGTACATCTCAATTTTCGATAAAATCGCTACTTTATATAAGATTTATTGGGGAAATTTAAAATTATATGATAATTATATATAATCATAGTCAATTGATGAATTATGATTATTAAGACGTGATAGTACAGAAATGAGGACTCGATAATGTAATAATAACGTGTATGTTAAAATCATGGCTGACACTACGGTCGCGCGAAGCAAAAAGCTAAAAATCTACCGGCTTAACTGTGAAAATCGTAATTATCGAACACAAAGATGCAAATTTTAGTATATACTGTATTAAATCATTGTCTTTTGTAACATTTATAAAGAGTGATAAAGCAAATTAATGAATCAATCAAATGTCAAGCTAAATCTAAGACATTATATGAAGAAGAGTACAAAAGAGCAAGCTATGTGAACATTTTATAACCAAATCCTCAAAGTATTTTTTCATAGATTTTCTCTTCAATTTTCTCAATAATGCTTACTGTCATAATAGTAACAGACACGTTTCTTAGGCTGCTGCATGGCTCCCTTCACAAATTAAAATCAGTGAAACACGTTTGGTAAAATTAAACAGAGGAATCGTTACACCATGACTAAAAATTCCTTCTTGCAATTGCTTCAATTTGCACCCGAATGCACTCTCGAACGATTTTATCAGAAGGGAAGCACTCCCCCTCTCGAAGAGATTGGGGATTAGTTTTAGTGCGACATCTATTACGAAACTAATTTAATCACGTGATCTACATGACGATATAGAGAAAAGTTCGCGCTAAATTCAAATCTATTTACGTGCAAATATGCTTATTATGTGCTATATGATCACTTTGTTATACGTTCTAATTATACAATAATTTGCCATTTTAAATATATTTTAAAAATTTATTTATTCTGATTTATTATTCTTAAATTAAATCCTGAATAAAAGATAAAGATAAAAGTTTATCATGGAACTATCATATCTACATCTAAAAAAAAGGCATTTGATTAGTCGAAAGTATTAAAGTTTATTATTCCTTTTAGAGAGATATAAGTATGTATGTATTCTTCCAGCATTTGTCAGAACGCAACTATATAATAATGTCCGCATCATTATTTAAAAAAATATTTTATAATATGCAACTCTTTCCAATTTTTTATATAGTTTTTTGTATCTTACTTTTTTTGATAAAAAATGAGTATAATTTATGTATAATATAAATAATGAGTATAATATATCTAAATGATTCATTAAACAATTCATTACATATAGAACCGCGTACATTAATTGTTTGGATTTCAAAATAAAATAAATAGAGGAAGATGACAGAATAATAAAAAGATGACTTTAATTTTCGCAGATCGTAAAATAAATTTTTTACGACTTGAAAGAATTTACATAAAAGTGAATCAATAATGTTAGTAGGAGAAGAAAGTATCAGGATATGTGCAAAGGATGCAAAGAGAATCTGCTGGAAGTAGAAGAAAGCTGGAGATATAATTGAATTAAGTAATAAAAATCTGATCTTCTCTTGAAAAGTTGTCATTTTGATACGAAAAACGGTCTCGTTTTACATAGGCAAGCCATTGTACATAGCAAATTGTAATAAACTCTATGTAATACAAACAACATCCTCCGTTCTTCGAACTGAACTCGTTCTTTCCTCTCGCAACGAGATCACTATCCGAGAATCGAAGTTTAGTTTTTATATATATGTATATATATATATATATACATTTACATACATACATATATATATATATATATATATATATATATATATATGTATGTACAGAATATTCGGTGATTTATTTTCGATAAACATACACAACAAGAGATTTTGTATTTCTTTTTTTCTCTTTTTTCTTCTTTTCCTGACTTAACGCGTGTCCAAAGGCACACACTTCTTTACATATACATCTCGTATATATAATACAGTAATATACAAAATTAACTTTTTTATCTTCTATAAATGTCGAACATGACGCGTCGTTCCTTCCGGCGTCGTCAATTATTTTTATTATTTAATGTACAAAGCGCGCGTATGCGAATGTATCTATCGTAATGTATTCGTGAACATGCGCCGTGTGTGATTTTTATTATGCGACCCTGCTCCTGCGACAGCTAGAAAAGTCTACGAGTATTTCGACGAGTTACGATAACATTTTTACACCGCCTCTAGACTCTTTTTCTCCCCATTTCCAGAACACGCGGAATTATATTACTTCGCACTTTTCGTTCGATTGTCCTATCTATATATGTACTTGGCGCTTTTTGGAATGCCTTTGGGAACAAGTATCTGCATATAATCTGCATAATTTGATCCTCCAAGGCATTCCCGAGCGAATCGAAATGGTCAGATCTGTCGATTCGAGCGCGATATAATCAAAAGAAGAGTGGCTAGATTGTTCAAAAAGAATTGACAGGATTTTATTCGCGGCGAAATTGAATGCTAAATTTTAAAAAAGATGAATTTCTAACGATTGCTTTCATTGATTTTTTGTTTAATAACGTATCAAAAAGTACCACCGATAAAAATCTTTCGAATTATAATACACCGACTTTTCTCTACGTCATAATCGAAAGTATCTTAGCAAAAGATGCTACGCTAAACGTATCTAATTCTGATCAATCTAATCTTGATTGATGAGATGATGGAGAACAATTTTGTATCTTAGCACACATTTTGATATGGATTGCGTTCGCCACGTTTGATTGATCGCATTACTCGCGTAGAAATTGGGCGCACCGGGCAGGATCGGATAGCACGTTAAATTCGTTTAGAGTAACTCGACTGCGTCCGCATAAGAGAATTTACAGCCTGCTGCTCGCAGTGACGAGAGGTAGAGAGCATATAGAATATCTCGGAGCGTCTATAATCAGGATTGCTACATAGTTCACTCGTAATATGCTTAGTTTCGCTATTATATTATTCGTATAACAAAGTATTTCTCTCGTATATTTTTAAAGTATAATAATAAAAACCTATAATATTTTAAATAATTTTTTAAAATTAATTAATACAATTTTATTTTATTTTTAAATTAATATTTTTAAATATGTACGTGGAAATATTTACTAAAGTAAAAAAATATCATAAAAAAAGAGAGAGAAAAATAATTAGTTTACTTTCAATATTTCTCTCTGTTTACATAAGTTTTTTTAAGCAAAACATATAAATATATAATGGGAAATCTTGCATCGCTAAAAAGGAACCACTGACTGAAAAGATCGACGAAGAATTAGAAAATCGAATTTATACGTGTAGCAATCCTGATTGTCGAAAACAGACGATGAAATGTACAAATGTCCACATACTCGTCAGGCGAGGTTTCGTTCGGATTTCACAATCACGACAGTGAAAGAGTTCGATTCACGGCGTATCGTGAATACAACTGTCGACTAATATTTGACACCATCATTGTTGGCTATGAATTCAGCTTCGATCTTAAAGAAAGACGGCGCTCCTTCCGGCCAGCATGTACATCAGCAAGAACATCGTCACCAGGAGACGCAGACTCGATCTAGCGTTCGTCGCTAGGCCGCACTGATCCTCGATTTCGCTTTCACGAGAATGCGTACGTATGCAGGACTGCGGTCGCTTCCGCTTGAGACCCGCAAACGCCTTCTGGCAAACCAGCGAGCTCTCGTACACCACCTCCTCGGGTGTGATGCTCATCGGCGGGAACGTCATGTCGCCGCAGCCGGTGTTCACCACTACCAGCAGCAAATTGCTCGCACCCACTGGCTGCACCACGTACGGTCGTATACACTGCTCGTCCGCGTCCACGTCATACGTGTTAAACGAGGTATTGCGCAAATATAGAAACATCTGCAAAAATTCGTGAATCAATGATATACGTAAACGTTGAAGAACAAAGGAAATTAGCCAAGACTTTGCCATGTCGTAACAAACTCTATTCAAAATTGTTTTAATCCTAATAGCGCACAACATATTTGAAAAACGTTTAAATGATATTCAGAGGATATCCTCTGAACGTCTTTCAGATATGTATACTGTTAAGGGTTTGATGATTAATCATCAAATTCAGACATATTTTGTATGACCACATGGACAATATATTAATATTCCGCAGGAATTAAACATTCCAAGTAGCAAACTGACGTCATTTTGACGTTTAATAATGTTTGCTATCTGGAATAGGCAACAGTATTAATAGATAAACTATAATATAGTGTGCAAATAGTAACATCTGAATTCAAGTTTACCTCTTGATCGCACACTTCTAAACGAGTACGATTAATCAGGAAGCTGTCGTCCACCGTGTCGTACGGAAAACAAGTGTTATGAGCAACGCTCTCTTCGTCACTGGTGTAGCCGTACGCTCCCGCGTAATCAGGCTCCATTACGCCTGTCTTTGCCCAGGCCCAAGCAGCTTGACTGACCATCCACGCCATTGCCTTCTGAAGATGGTTCCACGGCTGCAACACGAAAATTTTAGTGCGGATGAAACTTGGATTACAATTGCAGAAACATTTGCCAAAGTGTTGTTTTCCAATCATGAATATGATTGGTAGCAAGCGTACGTCACTTTGATGTCTAATGACGTCAGTTTGCTACTTGGGATATTTCTTCAATTCAGAAAAGGAATATTTTTACATGCATACATGCGCTGTTCATCAAGCAAGACTTTTTTTTAATTCTTTAAATAGGATACTAAATATGGAAAGAGATTATTTGTCCGATTTTCTCTTCTCTAAAAATTTTCAAAGGTTTAATTTAATATAATTTATTGATTACAAAACGAAATTTTTACCGTGAATAAAGTACTGCCAGCGTTGGCAGTCTTATTTATGTGCTTGAAGCACACTGCTTGATAGTCAAAGACCCTTATCTTCTCGAAGACACCCTCCTTGACCATGCTGTGCATTATCGGACCCTTGACTTCCCCGAAGAATCTACCGGCATCAGTTTCGTTCTCGGCGGCGATTACGTAGCCGTTATTGTCAATCAGATAACACGCCCAGGTATCATCGGCGCAATGCTTGTAACAGTTACCGAGTCCCTCGCAGTTGAACGTTATGTTCTGGAAAAGCGCTTGCAGGGCAGTGTGTTGGAACTGGAAGCCGACCACTGCGACCGGCGCCTTGCCTTCTGGAGATTTTTTTTCTTTATACAAAAACATCTTGAGTCTTCTTTTGTCAAACATATATGTATATATATATATATACATATTACTAGTTATTACAAATAAGTTGAGGCTATAATTCAAAATCTCTTCCACATCGTCGACATATCAACATATTATTCCTATTAAAGTTTTCACAAACGTATAATTTACTTAAAAGTTATTTATTTCTTTAATTTTAATCTTGACTCATTTAAGCAGTTGAAAAGAGAAATCTATATATAACTCTTAAAAATATAACGTAGATTTTATATAAATTATTAATATTCAGTTTAATATTTACAGAAATTTGCTAGGTAGTTCCATGTCCAAAATTGATGCATAAGAGGTTTTTAAAATGTTTTTGGGATATCATGTCATAAGATTTCTTAATTATGTCTTATGCACCAATTTTGGACATGGTATTGTCTGGGATACCTCGTTTATCTTGGAGTCTAGATAATTTTTCAGAGAATTGAATAGAGTGAACAACAATAAAGCTCATTGTTTAAAAAATTTTAGCATTTTAAGAAATTAGATTTTGACATTTTGCTCTCTTATCTTAAAGAAAATTTGAATTTCCATTTACCGATAAATATTGCACGACTGACAGTGACCAGGGTAGTGTTGTCAGCACCAAAGTTGTCAATCGGGACGGAGAAAACGAAGCTGTCCTTACTCGCGTAATATTGCTCGACTGCCCGTTTATACCAGACTTCATCGATAGCTCGTGGATACAATTTGCTAAAGTGATCATCCGGCAGCGACAAGTCGTCGTCCAATAGAAAATCCTGCCACCTGGTCAGCCCGCTGTGCGTGGCCACGAATACCAGAGTTACCGCGAAACGTTGTTGGAATTCCTTCCTGCGAGAAAAAACACCTCAGAAACGCTGAATCGGGTCGCTCGATCGACTCGAGCTGGTATTTACTCGCGCTCTTTTACAGGAGCTTATATATATATATATATATATAACTTGATCTAATATAATGCATACAAGCCTCTCAAAATTGTACGCAAGCCTGTAACTCCTTTGCGCTATTTGTCTGAATAATATCTCTTATCCGAAATTTAAATTATATTAAATTTATATTAAAAATCCCATCACTAATCAATTATTAAAAAAATAAAATTTAATTTTACACATCTCTCGCTTTATTATTTTCTATTAATTTTTAAATTTTTATCGAATACTGAGAAGATTCTTTTATCTGTGTATATGTGTACATTAAAAATTTATACGATTAAAGAGAAGATATGACTTCTCTCTCATACTTTTGTGAAATGGCGCAAACGAGCTGACGGATATTTTCAAAAACACTGTTACAGCTATCAATTAATCACGTCAGGAAAGTCCTCTTGCTTTCGCAGGGTTGCTCGCAAAAAGCGTTCCTCCTCTTCAGGCTTCCTTTCCTAAAAGATGACGTTCGCCCTACAGCAGCTTACAAGCTAATTTGCGCCGATCTCCGAGTGTCGAAAGACAAGAAGAGAAAGAAACAAAATAAGGGAAAGAAAGTGAAAAAGAAAGCCAAGATATTACATAATATCGATAAAATATGAGATTACAAAATATATATAACTTACTACAAAAAAAGATTACGAATTAACATTTCAGAAAATAAGACTCGTGAAAAATAATCAAAAATTCTGGCAACTTTTCTACGATACTCAAGACAAAATTCTCTTTACTTCAACGCAAATATATAGTAGACAGAGAATTCATTTTTTGTAAAATGAAAAATAAAATGAAGTGAGAAAGAGAGAAAGTTTTCGAAACGGCCTTTGAGATGGAAAGAGCGAGAGAGAGCTAAGAAGAGAGAGAAGAAAGATAGGAATAAGATAGAAGAAGAGCCGGTGCTTCGTATTATAGTATACGATCGAGAATTAAGTTGTTACTTTCTAAGAATGTAAGGTGCGTTGTGATGGCGTTACCTGGTCATCTGATTCATCAGCCTAGCTAAAGGTCTGCATGGCGTCAAAGTACGGTAAGTACATTAGTCAAAAGGAACAGGTGCATTTTCTATCCTCATAAAAATAAGAGAAACAAGACAGATAAATAGAGAGAAAGAGTGAAAAATTGTGCACAAAATAGAAAAACAAAGTAAAACACGGGACGGAGTAAAATTCGTGTGTAAAAATGTGAGCGCAGTGTGAGTTTTTTTAATTCTGACAAGGAAATAATGGTAGCGAAAGAATGACGTCTCTCCGTCCTAAAGACGCGCCGAGCAACGACTAGTCGATCGACCTTTTTTTCTATAAAAATTTCTCGATGCATCAGTCTCTATATATAACAGATAACAATAAATATATAAATATGATAATTAAGCTACTGCGTTTAATTCTAAACCTTTTTGCAATATGCTTGAAGGATTTATACTTATATAACTTATAAAACCTTAGTTTTGTTAAATTTTTATTACAGTTTCTAATTGATCTAATTTTTATTTTTTTGACAAATAATATCTTAGCAATAAAATGACGTTTATTCCAATACAAATATAAAAAAGCTAAAATATTATGAAACGCGCGGCTAATCTTTTTGGAAAATTCGACCGACTAATCGCACGCTCGTTTATACGCGAATATAACGGGGAAAGGAAAAATTCGTTCATTGTTTTTTTGAGTAGCCTGGCCATGCTGTGTAGAGCGCTCTTTTAATGCTGTTTAATAAATCGAGATTATGCTCACCCTGATCCCTCGCTGGGATTTGCTGCGGTTTGCTGGGCAAACCATTCGGTTACCTTAGCATCATACACCAAAGAGAGCAGCAAATTCCTGTCGCAATAGTATGAGTTCTTGTCGGCCTTGTAGGAATTACCTGTCAAATTGAATAATATAAATTAATTTTAAGCTTCTATACCGCGCAAAAATTGAAATAAATGTATACAGGATGTTCCATTATTTTTTGTATGTTCCCAATTTTTGACATTATGTATCTTTGTAACTATAAGCCTTAAATTAAAATTCTATTAAAATAAACTCTACTTGAAATTAATTGAAGAATGTCGTTTTGTTAATATTTTATTTCCACAAGGCTTAGTTCGCGAAAAACACTTTATTTTTAATATATTCGCTTTATAATTCGAAAATCATTGGTGCTTTGAGATTTTTGCTGAGGAAATATTATCTTCAAATCCAAATAACCTGAGGATCTCCCATAAATAGATGATTCGTGAATTTTGGGACACTGTATATATAAAGATATAAAAATAAAAAATAAGTATTGATCGTAACGTACTGTGAGAGCTGTGACTAGAGCCTGCAGCGGAGTATTCCGGCGGCTGGGATCGCTGCTTCATGTCGATCCATTTCCAGCCTGGTTGGCGGGTACGCTCCAAAAAGTGTAGGAGCTGCATCTCCGAGGAGTTGAATCTGTGTTCACCCTCGTAGTGGTACCTAAGCGTTTGCAACGAAAGATTAGCATAATTGGTTCCGGTAGTGTCGCGTCCCCGTTCTTTCTAATCGCATATATATATTCCTTCGCTTGTTCCCGTAATCTTTATTCCCTTCTCTAACTTACTTGCAGTACATCCAATGGGGGTGCACCCGCCATTTACTACCCGCGAAGTAATCTGTCACGTTTTTCCCTACAATAGTTCAATTCATTCAACTTTAACATAAAGGATTGAGCGGCAGATCAGCGACGAAAGCCTCGACTGATTAAGATCAATATTTTTAACATCGAACCGAGAGTCAAAATACTTTGAGTCACTTTGACTTTCAAATGCAATGAGCCGAAGAATTTTGCGCCAATTATTTATTATATATGCTCTTCCATTATCGCCAAATAGAATTATCATCTATAGCTTGAAAAATTAAATTCATGGAAATTAAAATATGATAAAATGTAAGTCGCAGATTATTTTTGTAATACTAATTTAATTTAATTAAATTTAAAAAACGTATGATAGAAGTGTCGAAAAATTTTTCAGCGTACAAAAGTTACATAATTTACGAGATGAAACTTTGCTTGTTAAAGTCGACACGGTAGATCGTCTTTCGCACGATAAGTGTTTTTCTGTCAGAAGTTTAGTTATGAGAGAAGTGTTTGGCAAGATGTTGAATTCTCCAATCGATTCGACGAAAACTTTGCTCGCGAACTTTGTCTCTCCGATTCCGAATCGTGTACAAATAAATAAAACTTTGCGGTTTGATCGTATAAGTATACGTATACATTTTACATACATAAAACGAGATTATATTTTGAAAAAAAAAACTTATCTCTCACTATGTGTTACAACTTTTTGCGAAGTTTTCCACAACTTTGCATATTATTGAATACGTTAAACTTTTTCGCCAATTTTCTATGATCGTATACGTCATTTTCCACTTTAGCCATGTGTCAAATCTTTCATTATCTCCATTCAATTTTAAAATAAAATTTCGACTAAAATGCATTCACAATGTATTTCTCGAATTATATACCTATAATAAATATGTGTATATTTTATGACAATTAAATTTTGCTAAAATTTTTATTCGATATTTTGCGCAAAATAATTTCGGATCATTCATGTTTAATATCTCCAAAATTGCGTGTTCGATCGATTTAATTTTAATTTTTTTTTTAATAAAATTGGAAATCTTTTATTATTGGAAGCTTTCGTCGCTGCATGCACTTGTCAGATTTAAAATGCGTACCTTTAGCGTGAGATCGACGTATTTCCTCGATAGCATCCACGCGATAACTTCCGGTGTGATTGTACTCGGGCAAACTGACCACCACCGTAAATGGTGTATCTGTGATTCCCATGTAATCGTATTTTCTCTTCACTCTGCCAACGCGTTTCTAGAACAATACGATATCAATCAGTACAATGAAATAATATGAATCGATAGTCTAGTAAAAAAGATTTAATTTAATTATTTTTATTTTTTTTATAAAGAATTAAACACACGAAAAAAAAAATACTTTTGTTAATATCACACTATGTAATAATTATTTTTCGCAACTTTAAATTTAAGAGCCTTTTTAAAATAAAAAATAAATAATAATTTAAAACGATATAGTATTAAAAAAATTAAAAGCTTAAAAAGATTTAAATTGTATATAACTTTCTGCAAAAATAATAAAAATACTAGAAGAGTTCTTTAATTGCAACTGCAAGAAGTCGTTAGTGAATGTATATTTATTATTAAATAATCGTTGTATAATGTTATATACTCACCATATCGTCATAATGATACTTTGTATGAAGCGTCACGCTACCGTTCGTTTGATTCACCACGTCGTTGCGAAGCTGCGGAAAATGCAATGGACTGATTTATAATGAACTTATATTAATTGCCAGCGACACGTGAAACGTCTAACGACGGTGTTGCTCAAGCTTCGAGCTTGCGTGTCACTAATGTGTTCTCTACGCGACTTCAATAATTTACAGAAATTACTTTTTTTTTATTTCTACGTCGAAAGAATTTCGCCCGCAAGGCGTTTACGTAGCGATTTCTCATTTATTATTTACCATAATGATTCCTTCGTCGAATTCCCTAGGGCCTTTATCGTTGTCCATCAACTCGACCTCCGCCATATCGACGCTGTTGTACGCCGGCTTTAAGATACCCTGGAACTGTTTTTTTATCATTTTAGCTTTACCATCTCTTTGTTTTTGTTTCATTAACGTCAACAACTCAATGTCGATAATGCGTAAAGCAAGAAAAATTGTCAGATTAATTATATTATATAATAATTATATCAGAAAACATCCAGAGGACATCAAACATCCACTGGATGTCCTCTTATATATATGTATATGCAATACTCATTTAAATCTTGGAAATGACATATTTATGTTACATTAAATATATCATATTTCCTAACAGCATTCATATCCGAAAGACGTTCAGAGGACATCCCGAGGATGTTTGGATATGTATGCTGTTAGGAAATATAATATAATTTAATATAATATAAATATCAAATTTCAAAATTAAAATGCGTATATATATATATATATATAACTATACAAAGGAATTCTAATTATGACGGTATAATTAAAGAAGCATATTACCACTGGCCGAAGATCGGGATGAATCAGGATGAAACCATTGTTGGTCACGATGAAAGCGTAGCCGTTGACACCGAGCTGCTCCCCAGAGTGATGAAAAAAAGAAAAGGAAAGAAATTGTATCATTGCGATTTACATTCACATGCATCGTCAATTATTGATGCACCGTGGCGTCGGCTCTATGACAGATATTAATAGCGTTTTTATGCCACTCTTCTTAATAGAGCCGTCGCATTCGGTGCCCAAAGAGGCACTTGACCTCTCATTCAAGTATCTCATTTATCATTTTAGTATCACATTGTATATGAGCACATCGTGTGACATCTCTATTTACAGAACATCTTAATCTCTAATGAATTTAATTTTTGTATCAACGACGGTGTATCTCAAACGCGGTAGAAAAATTAAGGCAGCATTGGTAATATAACAGAAATTATGTATTTTAATTATTTCTTGTACTTTAATTTATAATTTATAACTATACTATCAATTTTAATTTTTAGTCTTAATTTTAATTTTATAATCATCAAATTATCTTCGTATAGATTTCCATACTTCGGCTTTTAAATAAATTCTGGATTGTCCGATCCTCTCCTTTCGCAATTCATTAATCACTTGATTCCCAGCGATCACGACGAAGAAAAATAACAAATCTTCTGTAAGAGGATAAAAATCGAGCTCAATTTGCTCACCATGTGTGGCATCATTAGCTTCTGGATCTCTTCGATCGGAACATCCGTGCCAGCAACGCCGAGGAGATTGGCGATCATCGTCTGCGCAGACAATTATCAATGCGTTTATTAAAAAAGAACCTGTCGCGTTGCGTGACACCGCTATCATGTCATGACAACGTCGATATGTCGAAATAAATTACGAATTATCATCATCACCAAGATCGCATAACCAGAAGCGTATCTACCTTCTCCAACAACGTTCTATCACAATGAGTTCGTCTACAGAAACACGCTTTAGTATATCAAGAAACCATGTGTAAAAAATGATCACCCCCTCGCGTGTATGTATAACAATAATGAACATGAGATAATTTTTCATCGATGGCAAAAGATGTATGTTCTTTTGAGAAAAGTGAATATCGAACGAGAAAATGTTTGTCTGAATTATTAAGATGTTGATAATATTTTTGTATTATTTTATAAATGTTACAGTAATTATAGTGAGTAATAAATGATTGCTTTATTAAAATATTGTTTTAATAAAGTAATGATTTAGTGAAATATTTTTTTAAAAATTAGAATATTTGCTTCATGCAGAAATAATATTGAATAATGAATCGATATTATAAAATGTCGCGTAAATATTGAAATTTTATTTGTATTTTTATTTCTAAAATGTATAAAATTGCGCGCGAGAGGGACGAGCAATAAAAGAGTGTAAGTTTCTTGCGATTAAACGCAATAACTAGTTCAACTACTGTCTCAATGTGTGATAATAATAACGATACACAATAAAAACTATAGTAATTAAACAACAAATTCTTTCTATGACCAATTAACAACATCGGACTAGGCTATCCTAAATGTTAGTTCAAGTAACAATTAGCTCTGTTCTTTCGAAGTGACGACCTTCCTTTCTCTCTTTCTTTCTATTTTTTATTCGATAAACAAATTTGACATATTTTATCATGGATATTGAATTTAAATATGTGTAAAAAGAAAACATTTTTCCTTGATCCCAAAAATATTTTGTGACCGAAAATATATGCGAGATTAATTACGATAATCTTTCTCGAAGAGACGGAGAGGTCATCGCTTGAATTAGATCTACGAATGACTCTGACTAACAAAATCTAGCACTCAATAAACTGTCAAATTCGTATTCGTGTACGTGCGTGTCTGCTGTTACTCGCGATGGAAGGAGCAAGTGACTGGAACCATTAATTATATCGTCTATTGTGTAAAATAAGTCATTACGTTATTCTCTTGTGTCATAATTGAGTTTAATTTTTTCATAAAAACGAGACAAAGGTACCGAATTAAATCACAAGAATTTTGAATCTCTTTTCAGAGACTTATATTTACTTGCTCCTTCGATTTAATATCTTTTTCTCGTATTATAGAAATATATAATTATAATCACTGCAGAAACGATCTCTACGAATCAATCTTTACGAGGATTCTTTTTTTTTCGTCGTACGCAATCCAACAGGCGGGCAGAACTTTGCCTTTTTTTCTACTCGTCTCGACAGGACACAGGGTAGACTAACGTACCTAAACCTACCTAATGACTTGAAATAATCCCAATAACTAATATTAGATTAACACAAGATACCAGAGAGTCGAATGTGGACCTAAAAGAGATCTATGCGCGTTCTACGATCTCGTTCAACATCTTTTATATATACTTCTTGTTGCCATAAATATAAAATGGATTAAAAATTTTCTCGTTAAAGTAGAAGAATAAGAACATTTTGAAATAAAACGCGACGCGATTCTCAAAGTCTGACAAATTTAACGAATAATAAATTGAGATTCGAAAATGAAGTTGAAAGATGAGATTGTAGATCGTTGATCGCGCGTAAACAAAAGATAAAGATATACAGGATATACTATATGCATCATAGAGCAATGTTGCTTGAGTTTTTTGTTTTAGCTGCCAACCTCTCTTGTCTCTGTCACCCAGTACGCTTCGTTCACCAGCACCTGCCTTGTGATGTTCTGTGGACAAAGTGGGACTTAAAACCGAAGCAAGTGCGGGATGAATATATATACCTTAAGGAAATGCGATTCGCGAGATGGAGACTTTTATCTGTCGTATTTTTATATTTCGATATAAGTATTAATGGAAATGTCGCGATAGGAATGTGATCCGTATAATGAAAATGCAAAGAGCGGAGCCAGGAAAAAGAAAAGAGAGCGAATGACGTTTAATAATGATTGCCGAAGAGAGGCCATTTATCGCTTCGACGGAACAACAACTCGAACTTGATCCTTTATGCTCGATCCATTATCGACAACGTATGAACGTACGATTGTCGCCTACTTTTTTCATCAACGCAACTTAGACTTTCGCTGATATGATATCAAAAAGAAACGGTCGGAAACCTTACCGCGTTCTCGCGTTGATCGAACGCCGGCATGCTGACCGAAGTCATCAGCTTGTACTTCTGCAGCCCGCTTGTCTGATCGTACCGTCGCCTCTGCTTCATCACGAATCGCCGATCCTGCTCCTCCTGCTTGCAGTACAGCTTGTTCAGGTAGCGATCCTTCTGCTCCTCGCTCTCGTGTTGTTCCCACAGCCAATCGGTCATTTTCGGATCCTTTACGTCGGCGTAAACGGGTGTCCAGATGGTCGGATGATCAGTGCGGCCCAGCACCAGAGGTCTCGCCATTACTGGCACGTATTTCAGTACCTGAAAGAATTCGAAAAGTATGTGTGTAATCTCACGAAATTTTCTCCAATGTTCTACTAGTCTTTGCTACTCAAATTCTTGTAATTTTGCATCGTTGCACGTCGTAAAAAATACCTTAATAGCACAATATTCTCTGAACTTCTTTCGGATATGTAAACTGTTATATGTTTTTACCGAATTCCAAAGACGATCCTTCGTGTGACTCACCTCTTCTCTCACTTCTGCCGGGGTGCACAAATGCACATAATATCCTCTGTTCGCACAAGCCATCCACTGCACATCTCGCACGTCCGCAACCTCTCGGCCGATTAGATATGTGAATACTCTGACGGGCATGTCCTTGGGTGGTTCGCCCGGATTGTCTTTCCTCCAATTATACACCTCGAAGATCTCTTCAAAGTTGTAGGGCACTCCATCGGTGATCAGCATGATCGCCTGATTACACTTGGCACCCTCTCGCTCGGTGCGAAATGATTCGAGTATTTCGAAGGCGGTAGTCAAGGCCAGGGAAAAGTTGGCCATATTCTCCGTATCAAGACCCGAGATGGCTCGTTTCAGTTCGCGCACGTTCGCCAGGTTCGCCTGAACCAGAGTGTCGCTGAAGCACGGCACTACCTGCAAATTTATCAGTTAATTAATAATTTCATCTAATTATAATATATTTCATAAAAACGACGTGCTCAGAAATTATTCTTGTAATTTTGCATCGTTCGCACATCTAAAATGCGCAACTTAAATTCTAGCTTTTTTAGATTTGCAATTACGTGAAATGTCAAACTCTCTGTTTATTTAAATTGATCTAATTCATTCAACTTCTCTTACAGACACGCATTAATTTTATATCTTAAAATTTTTCCACATTAAACCCATTATCTCATCAAATTTTTATTCATTATATTAAATATTATTAAATCCTTATTTTATCAAAATTTTGCGGTATATTTTTATATCTTTCTCTCTTAATCTTCAACAACTTATATAAATAATTGATTTTCCTCGAGTATTCTATTTACTTAAACCGACATGGATTCCTCGATCGAATAAATTCTCTCGGATCGATTTTTACCCCTTTGGTTCCATTGGAGAACGTGATAATGTTGACAAAGTCATTGTTGCCGAGAGTGTCGAGAATATTGTTGATGACGTGTCTGGCAATTTCTTTCCGTATACCCGTCATGCTGCCGGAGGTGTCCATCAGGATAAGAATGTCCTTGGGACTGGTGGCCGCTTCGATATACCAGCTCCTAGCTCTACAGTCGAACAAATCCGGCATCGATGGTTCCGTATACCAACTTATGGCGGGATACTGACGCATAAAACCGGTCGCGCTACCAAAGTACTGCCAGGACAACGACGGGTCTTGCTCGTAATTGTTGATGAAGATGCGATCTAGCTGCTCGGACCATTTGATCGCCCGGATAACATCTGGCGCCCGCTCGTACACGTTTGTGGGTACATGCACTGCCGACATGTTGAGATTCACGTCACCGCCGAAGTGTGGACTGTAATTGAGATCGATGCTGTTATTTTTCACGTTGATGAATTGATAAGATTCCGGCGGTGTCTCGTTCGTAGACGATAACGCCGACTGCTCAGCTACGTCCATTATTCTCTGAAAGATCGAAAGCAATTAACAATTTGTGACTGTAATTTCAACATTCGATAATGATGAAAGATTTCGAACGCGTTAAACGAACGTTAAATAGCTCAGCGAATGATGATTTAAAGAAGATCGCACCTTGATGGCTGAAATCTTGGATTCCATCATAGTTTTGATGTCCTTGGCGATTTCGCGGACCAGGCTGGCTCCGTCACGTGGTTTAATATCCGCCGTCTTGTAGCTCTCTTGAAATCTATCTACCTTTGTCACGAATTTGCCCAACTGCGTCAGCTCGAAGCTCAGCTTTTGAGTCCATGTCTTCACCCTGTCATATATGAAAACAAAATTAAATATAATAATAATCATATGTAATAATATTATTATATTTCATATTATCATGTTGTTTGTAATTAAAAAATTTCTGCATTATTTTATATTATCTTCTCTTAATTATCTAATATTTTCAACATAACATTGTGCAATGTTACTTTGCTAGATATCCCAGCAAACACAGTATATAAATGTTATATAATCAAGCATGTTACATGTAACGTATAGTTATATTGTCATTATATCCCAAGATAGCACTGACTTATCAATACATCAATGTGCTATTTGGTATATAATTACAATATAACTACAATGTAATATATGTTCTATTAAAATGTTATATCTATGAGTAGGAAATTACAACTAACATGGATGTTACATGTAACGTACACGTTATATTACCTGTTATATTCCGTTTTATTATAGCAATGTAACAATTATATATCGGTGTTTGCTGGGATATCATTCGGAAGAATATTTGTACGTTTGTCGAAAATTACGTTTATTAATATATCATTATTCTATTTCTTATCTCATCATCGATTTAATTACATATATCGTGAAGTAATTGCATAATGTTATTTATATTACATTAAGAATAATATATGACTATAATTTATTTTGAGACCTCGTATCATGAAACAAAACGCGAATCAGAAAGTAATTTGCGGGCAATAATAATCTGATTGAACATGACAGTCTGATGAAATCAATCTCATTCCACGTCCTTCGGTAAGAAATGACAAATATGTATTATACATTTGCGAGTTATAAATTATTTTTTACACACACGAATAAATCAGAAAATAATTTATATCTTCTCTAAAAAAAATAATTTCTTCAACAAGTATCTTCAGTGATAAACCATGGACAAGGTTTTCGTTTATTCCCGAAAGTTCGCGAAACGTGCCATCAGCGTGACAGTTTTCATCGAGAGACACACAGTCCTTCACGGTTGACCTAAATATCATTCGTCGCCTCATTACATGTATAGTATATGCATATGAATAGAACGGAGCGATCGAGCGAATCGTGTTTGTTGTCGTGAATAAGTTGCGAGGAAATGAAAACGGGGCCAGAACTGATATACCACGAGGTATACGTACGTGTTGTAGGAGATGCTATCGCTACGATCGGGTGCCTCGATCAGGATCAGGACGACGACGATAGGTATGAAGCAGGGCCTCATCACTTTCCCGGACACCACTTTCTTCCGGTTCCACCTTGCGACTCCTCCGCTCCTCGGATGGAGGGATAAGGGATTGTGCTCGCGCGAGGACCACGATAAACAAAACCGAGGCTCGCGTCTCACATCAAGGATGTCTTCACGTCAATCGTTCTGGTCGACGTCGTGTACTCACTACCTCTGTGGCGACTCACTCGAAGGAACTTATGCGCCTTTCGGGCTTATCGATTTTCCCTCCAGACTTGCGCACGGGGAGATGAACCCGATAACTTGCACACCGACTATCGGGTCGGAATAGAATTGTTTGCTCTTCGATTGTGCGCTCTCGGTTGTCGGGAAAGAAGTTGATAATGGTTAATTTTTTATTATTATTTTGCCACGTGTCCAAGTTTGCCGCAAGTGAGTTAAGTGAGACTAACTTGATAAAAGATTTTCTTCAAGCATGTAACTGTCTTCTATATATGTCGTATTTTTTGAGTGTTATTGATAATGCATATGATGTTGAGTCAGTTATTTTTGAGATAAGATTATGACACTCTCATGAGATATCTCATATGAACTCTGTAGCAGAAAATGGCAATAAAGTAACATAAACAATTAATGTATGTATATATATTAAAGTTTTATAAGATTTAAAAAAATGATTTGTCTACATATAATAATGTCATAAAGAATAATTTATTTGTTGTATCTAGCTGTGTAAGTTAAAAGACACATTATTATAAATTCATTTCTTTAACTATAATTAAAAAGAAACCTTTATTTGAAATATTACCCAGCAAACACAACATATAAATGTTATATACTTAAGCATGTTACATGTAACGTATATGTTAGTTGTAATTTCCCACTCATAGATGTAACATTTTTAATATTACATATATTACATTGTAGTTATATTGTCATTATATCCCAAGATAGCACTGACTTATCAATACATCAATGTGCTATTTGGTATATAATTACAATATAACTACAATGTAATATATGTTATATTAAAATGTTACATCTATGAGTGGGAAATTACAACTAACATGGATGTTACATGTAACGTACACGTTATATTACCTGTTATATTCCGTTTTATTATAGCAATGTAACAATTATATATCGGTGTTTGCTGGGTAGATAATTATTTATATAGTTATTATATTAAATAATTAATAAAAGTCGTAAATTGGAAAAAATATATACTTACTTTGAGTGATGTACTTTTTTTTATTTTTCATAAAACAACAATTATATATATATTTCAGATAGAACATGAAAATCATAATGACATCATAATGTCACTTAAAATTCATTAAAAAAATTTTTTTATATTACAATATTTATTTGTCCTATTGTTCACACATATTCTAACAATATTCAAGTAACATAATTTTTTTTAAATTATAGCGATTCTTATATTAGGGAGCTATAAATTTGTGATTCTTTTTATCATCTTTGAATTATTTTTTTATGATATTTGTCCAGATAACTTTTAATAAGTGATGAATAAAATCATGATGACGCCATTATGACGTCGTTATGAGTTTTATGTTCTACCTGGGATATAAATATATAAGATAATATTTTATCATCATGCAAAGACATACAGAATCCTAATGACGGTAATGCACAACAAGGACAGGGACAATGTCAGTTCAGAGGCTCCTGCACAATTGTCGATCTCACGTTCTAGGGGATGTTCCGTAAAACAACTTTTCAGCATACGCCTCTTCAAAGCGTTCAGCGGAATTTTATGACAGGGTTTCTCGGCCGTGCTATTTGCGTACTCGAAGGGTAAAATGTTGACAGGGGTTACGTCCAATCTTTCAATGCACGTCGGATGATACATGTTGTCTACCACAACCAGCAGGAGATTCGAGTGTGTTACCTGTAATTATGTCAATATTATAATTGCAATAATTATTCTTCTAAAATCCAATTGTCATATTAAGACTACTTATATAGACTACTTATAATTCTTAAATTCTTCTTTCGAGCAAATTGCAAAATCTATATGTTAATAATCAAAACATTCAATTTTTTCAGAAAAGTCTATCGTAAGTTCTTAAAGAATATTTACGGGTTTACTTTGTTTATATCAATCAACTTTGATGTGTACTAAAAAGAGAGAATTAACATATAAACTTAAGAACGTCAGAATACTATTACAATTTCTCACTGTTGAAACGTACTAAATCTTACCGAACAAGTTGGTGATTCATGTTAAACATTTCATGGACAAAACAATTTGCAAATTAATTCTTTAAAAAAAAATACACTTGCATAAAACATTCAGGCATATTAAAAAAAAAACAGAAAAAGGAATTTAACTGATTCTGCAATTCTATAGATTAAACGAAATAAATATTACGTTTATCGGTTATAAAATAAAAGATATAAGCTAAAAAAATCGTCGATATTATAAAACTCAAAAATGGTCTCCCATAAATCTACTTCAATATTTTCTCCATAGTTAAAATATTCGATTGAGTAAGATTTGTCAGTGAGTTCCTCCGCTGACATACGTCAGATACAATTATTATGCTAATGACGAACACCGAGTTAACAACTATTTTGAACCACATAATTACCATCTATATGTAGATGACAACTGATAATTAAAATATATATTTTCGTTCAATACGTATTAACAATTTTTAATTATTACATGATAATTCCAATGGATCTGTACGATATATAGTTTGTCGATAAAATACCAAATAATCATTATAATTGTGTAAAATTATGATTATTAAAGTGCACACATAATATATTCTATATTAAAAGTTACCGAATCTTGAAAACAAAAAAAAATCAAATTGACGCATAATGAAAGCAAAACCAAAAATAAAATTTAAAAAAAAATTTCTTTACTATTTTATATTTTTGCAAAAGGTAAAACATTTTTAATTTTAAGATTCGAAATACGATAAGTTATTAAGGGCCGGTTGTTCCAACTCTTGGTAAGTTTTACCTAACAGATAGCGTATCTTCGTCTCTTTTTAGAATTTATATGAAAAGAGACGAAAATATGCTACCTGTCGGGTAAAACTTACTAAGTTGAAAAAATCGGCTAAATGCCAAAATAAGCATTTCTTCATATTTGTTTAGTTTTCAAAACTGCAAAGTTGCATTCTTTTTTTTATCGAGGCAAACAAAAACAAGGTATACATCAAAAGACGCGCGAGATATTTTATGTATAGCCATATATGTATATGTGGAGATATTATATTTCAAGTTATTTTTACGGTTGTACCTGAGATCAGCGAAAATTATATATGCCGGTCTCATTTACAACCAGTTTGCGTAATTAAATATTATTTACTTTTTGCGCGTAGAACGGCTTCGAGCAGTAGTCAGAGTGATTGGTGATGCCTTTGGCGGCGACGGTCTCGTTCAGCATGTAAAGCGTCCGTTTCTGATCGCAGGGGTAGTAATGGATATACGGTTTTGGCGGTGGTGGCGGATCAGGCAGATCCTCGTCTGATTGAGCTTTGCCATGAATACCGGGCAAGTCTACAAATTGGGTCGCGAACCATATCAACCGCAACAGAAACCAGATTAACATCCTACCAACGTGTCGCAGAGGTTCCATCATGCTGTTGGCAGAGTTGCTCATTCGCTGGAACAATTTACGCATTCTCTTATGAAAGCGCTACAAAATCTAAAAATAGCTTTACTTACAGCTTTACACTACCTTCCGTGTTATTTTGAAAACGCAATTCAAAAAACAATAGTCTCGTTTTATATAAAATTAATATTATAATCAATAATAATTAGCACACAAAATAATAATATAATAGACTTAATCATTAATTTAAAAATGCATAAAAATCTATTATTAATAGATAAGAATTAAAATAGTTTTGATTACAATTTTTTTTATAAATATTAAAATGTCATACAGTTACGAAATTTAATTAATTTAATTAAATGTAACTCATCGAATACTCACACCCTCGTGGCACCAAGCTTGATAGTCATAGATGTCGAACGGTTTATAGAGACCCTGCCCTACCATGGATCTCATAGTAGCGCCTTCCTCTATAATAGTGCCCATAAATTTCCCGGTGTCGTTCTGCTCCTCCGAAATAATCACGTAGCCGTTTTGGTCCAGCAGGTAGCAATCGATCCAATCATTGGCGCAATTCATGTAGGGGTTCGTTGTTATGGAAGTAAGCTCGATGAATCGTTCATATAGATTTATCACCGGCATCTGAAAACCCAGTACACCCGCCGGCGCCTTCTTACCACCATCCTTAGGCGAAAGGCTCATCGACACCGTCACCACTGCATCCGCGTCCGATTCCCAGGATACTGATCAAATTTTACCTTATATAATGTATATTAATAAACGACTCTTTATATATAATAAATTAAATATTAAACTTGAATGAAATATAATATATAAATGAAAAATAATAAAATATATGAATAATAATAAGAGTAAAAATAACATAAATAATAAAAATATATAAGATATATACTATTAAAAATCTATAACATATAAAAAGATGAACTATTATGTATAGAAAATAAAAATAATGCAGAAACGTGATTAAAAAGACATTTCTCATAAAAAATATCACAGGTTGTGAAATTAATTATAAAATAAATTTTTACCGGATAAAGAAATACTGTTGGGGTCTATCTCGTTCTGAAAGATCGCGCCTTTGTACCAAGGTTCATTCACCGCTCGTCCATGAATATTGCCGAAGACGTTCTTCTCCGTCTCTGTAAGATGGCTGGCATTAAAATGATGCCACCTGGTCAAACCGCTTTGCGTCGCGATGAATCTAATGAAGATGCCATAGAGCTGCGCCAGATTCCGGGCCGTACGCGGTAAGTTTTCCATGTAGCCGTCATAGAAGCTGTTGTTCGTCGCTTTGGCGTCGAACACCAACAACTGCATGAGTTCTTTGTTGCAGTAGTAATCGTCGTACTTGAGCGTTCGCCTCCCGCAATCGGGCTCCTGATCAACGTCCTCATCCGCGGATAGATAAGCCTCGTACTGCTCGGACCACCGCCAACCGGGTCGACTCATCAGCGCCAGGAAGTGGCGTAGCTCGTCCTCCGGACGATCGAACCGGTGATTCTTCGGATAGTGATAGCGACAATAGACCCAGCTCGAATGCACTCGCCAGCGATCGCCCACAAAATAGTCCGACACATTGATATTCATATTCTGATTCCGGCGGATCTCATCACCGACCTTAAAGAAATTTTAGCACATGATTTAATACTCGAGTGCGTATTTAGTATCTGCCATTCATACAAATTATTTTTGTTACTTGACGTAAAATTAATTGCGTATGCATAATTATTTATTAAGTTAATGTGATTAATTGCAAAGCTATTTAAGAGTGGACGAAATCGCTATTTTCAACCTTGATCCAAGTGGTTCCGTAGTTGGGTATGGCAACTGCGAGGCTAAATGGTGTCCCAGGCAAGGGCGCGTAAAAGTAATTGCGTCTCTCGAAGGTAACACGACGGTTGTCATCGTAGTGTAACTTCACGGGGACTCCTTTCATGCTACCACGCTCGTGATCAACCAACGCTGATCTCAGCTCCAATATTTCAGGACCCGGATTCCTGCGTTCGTTTTGAAACAAAAATATTTTACAACAAACAAGGATAACAAAAACAAATAAATAAAAATATAATAATGTATACCTATACATAAATTGAATTAAAAAAATATATACATATATATATATTTTTATTAAATATTTTCCAATATTTTAAAATATCAATCAATATTTTAAAATATATTTTTTTATTAAAAACTATATGTATAAATAAAAAAAATATATAATTTATTTTATATAATTTTTTTCTAAAATATAACACAGTAATTTAATTTTATTCGTCTACTTTTTTTGAAAAGAAAAAGAAAAAAACCATAATTATGTTACCTCGGTCCGCGTCCATCGTCGAGTATTTCCACTTCCGTAAGGTCAATACTATTATAGTTCAATTTAAGCTGGCCTCTGGCCACCGGCCGTAGATCCGGATGTAGTACGACGTAGCCGTTATTTGACACGATGAAGGCGTAGCCGTTGACGCCGAGCTTGTACGGCAACGTGAGCTTGCGGATATCGTCGATCGGCACATCCGTCCCGGCCACCCCGAGCAACTTGTCCTCCGTCACGCGTGTCTTGTTGTCGCGGCTGCTTCTATGATCGAACACGGGCGTGCCCACGGAAGTCAGCATTCTGTATTCCTGCCAGGCGATTGTGTCCAGGGTGGACGGATCCGTGTCGATGCTGTCGACTTTGCCCAGCTGTGCAGAGCGATCGCAGAGGATGAAGATACAAACGACGACATAATTCTTCTTTTATAATTTCTATTAATGGGAGCGAACACGTCTCTAGGGTAGGACTGAAGCGAAGGGTCGCGCTAATCTAATTTGCCCTCGGTCACTCTAGTGAGGGCTAGGTATGTGGAAGGTGTCTCGGAACCGAAAGGCGCAACCGAAAAAACTTGTGGCTATCTTTTAAGTTATATAATATTTTTAGATTTTAGATTAACTCTGTGTCTTTTTTCGATTGTCCATTCGAATCGCAGACACCTGCTCTTGTGCAGCACCTCTAAAAACACTAAAAAAATGAATAAATAGGAAATGAAGAAAAAAGTAAATTCGACGAAAGCCCAGCCAACAGGGTACTAAACCTAGCTCGGGTATTAAGTTCTCAACTAATGGTAGTCAATCGCCGAGAACCATTCAATGTGTCAATTAGCGGTGTCCCAATGCCCAGCGATTAATTGCTTGCGGATGTTTGTCCAATTCTCCGAGTTGACAGTTCAGCGAACTACAAAAGTTGGCCAATCCCTTTGGGTTGCTAAGCTTTTAATTAATTGCTCGAGCAAGATAATCGAGATACCTATAATTGAATTATGTTATAATTATGTAATTAAAATCGTACAATATTTGTTACAAAATTATTAAATACCAATGTGTTTATTTAAATAAAAATTAATGTGTCAATTTTAGATTATCTCGCTCGATTATTACACGAATTACCAAACGAAATTGTGATAATTGTTCATAAATTTTTTTTTAATCCAAATTTTTAATTTCTTAATGTCAAGTCTTGTGTATTTCCGTTTAGTATTCGGGGGTTGAAACATAGGAACGAGTGCCAAGGGGAGATACAGTGCGATACAGATCTAAAGAATACAGAGCCCGGAAAGCCTGGAAAATAGAGGCAGCGGGGGTTGGGGGAAAAGGGATAAGGGGTACTTTCTCGATCATATCTCAACCTTTTGTATGTAGATTGCATCCTCGTTTATTCTCACGCCCAGCCGTTTTCCCGTCAAGTGTTTTTGCAGGCGCGACTTTTGTTCCTTGTGTTCCATCACTCGCCATAGCCAAGCGGCAAGTGCAGGATTCTGACGGGATTTACGTATCATTTTTTATTTTATTCGCCTACTATATCTCCGCTATCATTTTAACAAAACATTTTCAAAACACTGTGGGAAATAAATAACGGGAAATGCGAAAATAGTATATTAGCTAACAAGTGCGGGGGATCTAAATAAGAGTGCAGAAGTTTGGCGCACGAGGCGAAGCCGAGTGTGACAATCCACACGACCGGCCGATTTATGACCCGCACATGTTGGCTACGATATTTTGTGTGACCGGTGCGTGGAAAAAGAGCCCTTTCTAAAATCCCATCATGTGCGAAAAGGACGACTTTCCGCGCGCCGGTTCCACAAAGTTTTTTGTCTTTGGCGACAAAAAGATATTTACAAATTTGAAGAATATATAATAATATCATATTTACATCCAAAGATTAGTCTTCTTTCAAAAAATAAAGATAATAGGATTTTCTTACCATGAAATATCTTTCTCATAAATTTCCTGTAATATTTTCCAACTGGATAAGGTAGCAAACCATCCCAGGTAGCAAGCATACGTCATTTTGACGTTTAATGACATGAGTTTGCTACTTGGGGTGTCACATTTAAAATGATAATGATCCAGAGATAAAAAAAAATATTCTCGTTGAGAAAATTCAAAATTACAATCGCTCAATAATTTTACAAAAATGTGAAAAAAAAGATAAAAAAATAAAATATAAATAAAAGGATAAATAAAATCAAATAAAAAGTCTAAAAATCCTACCGTGATATCGGCGTAAGTGTGCGTCCACACATTCGGATGTACCACGCCCTGAAGTACCAGAGGACGCGCGACAACCGGGATGTACTTGAGCACTTGCTCGCGCACTTCCTCCTGCGTATGCACGAGCCTGTGGGAGCCGCGGTTCAAGCACGCCATCCGCTCGGTTTCCCGCACGTTGATCACCTCCATCCCCAAGAGCAACGGAAACACTCGAACCGGTATGTGCGTACCATTCTCTTCCCGATTCCATTTCTCCAACACCTATGATGAAGAAGCAGAAGATACGTGTAAATTTAAAAAATAAATTCATTCGATAGAATTTTAAAGTGTTTCTTCTCACTTTACCGCATAAATTGTAATTTAAATACGAAATCATACGCAAAAGACCGATCTTTCTGTATTATATAAAGTAGAATTAATAGTAGAAGTACTATAAAATTAACAGATGAATAATAATAAAATAGTTCAATATTAAAAAAGCATGACGAATATACATCAGCTGATTAATTATATCATACATATTGTTATATTTTATTGTCTTTAATAAATATTTTGTTATATTATATTATCTTTTCTAAAAGAAAAAATGGCCTTTGTTCAGAAAGTAAGGAAAAATTCTTTTCACGAGAAAACAGATATGAAGATATAATTTTATATATACAAAGTTCCCGTATATTTTAAACTTAATATCTTACATTTACATTAATTTCTACAACACAAAAAATGATAGTAACACAAATATATCGCGATCTCTCATTCGTAATGTAGAACAGATAAATATAGAAAAAAGTAAATATGAAAAATTAAGCATTTATATAATTAATTAAAAAATAAATGTGAGAAATTCAAGTAAAAGTACACGTTAATATATATGTGGCATTGATATATTATTTTAAAGCATTATTGAATCCTAGTGAGAAATAATCGGTCGAATCAATATCGATTCGACTAATTCGACATTGATTCGACGTCAATATAACTATCATTTCTCGCTGGGATATAATGTAAACAAGTTATTAAGCGTTAAATTTTGGTTATTTTAAACATGCGCTGCTCAATTACAATCAATCAAAAGATTGTACCCAGTGAGAAATCACTAGTTAAAAAGACGTGGATTCGACGTTTTTTTAACTAACTATTTCTCACTGAGTAAGTAAACAGAATGTATAATGTGTCTTTTAACGTAAACATAAAGAAAAAGAGAGAAGGATTTATTCGAAACTATATATTTAACAAATTTATGCAACAATTTTGTTGAATACTGCTTGAAAGATATATATATATATATATATATATATATAGATTGTAAAAAATATACAAATGAGAAATTAATAAAACTCAGACATCATAGAAAGGATAATTTATGTTAATAGTATGACTTCTTTTTTCAAATATATTGTTCTTGTGTTTTATTTCATGCAGTATAACTTGATTTTCAAAAAATAATATAAAATCCTTGAAATATCAGTTGTCAAAAACATTACCTTTTCATAATTTTATTGCATAGATTTGTTGACAACCGCTTTAAAATAATTGTGTTTATTATATCCACATATTATAGTAATTAATATTTTAAAAATCGTTACTTTAGTATTATTTATTTACAAATAATTTAAAAATTTACGTTTTTACTTCTCTATTTATGTAAAACGAAGTTTTCTCTAAAAAATGGAGAAAGATAATTCGTTTCATGCTTCATTCACGATGTTTAATCTTCAATTAGTTAACATGCAAAATTCCTGTAAGAAAAAGTAGAAGAAAAAGAGTGCGATAAAAATATCAAACAATAATCAGTAACCTGTGTCAGATTTTCAGGAATGCCGTCTGTGACGAGCATGACCAGCTGATTGCACGGTGTGTCAAGGTCGCAGCCGCGGAACTCCCGATAAATCTTAAGCAGGCGCAACGCCTCAAGGAGAGCCGTCGTAGTGTTGGCGACACCCTCCATCTTGATATTTTCCATGGATTTTTTGAACGTGTCGATATTCTCTGGAGTGGCCTGGATTAGCATGTCCTTGAAGCACGGCACCAACTCGGACGTCTCGTTAGAATACTTTAGCAGGGTGACGAAGTCGTTGTTCGATAGTGTGTCCAGGATCGAACTCACAGTTGCCTTCGCTATCGCAACACATTGTCGTTTTTGGTCAGACATAAATATGCAAGTAGCAAACTAACGTCATTCGACGTCAAAATGACACACGCTTGCTACCTGACAATGAGTAGTAATGGAGACATTATATATGGTATACAATCCTCCGCGATCATAAAATTAATAGACGCGAGATGATTAAAAAAAAAATGTAAATTTAATCTTATTAAAGAAATTGCATTTTTTTATAATGCTTCGTGTCATCCCAAAGTCTCATTAAGGCTCCTGGTTTCTCACCGACTAAGTTGAAATTGTGACGTCAGAGGCGAGAAAATTCACGCTTAAAATACTTAGATGCTATTACGAAATAAAAAAATAAAACAGCAGATGGTTTTAGCACACTCTTAAAATATCTCGAAAACTATTCTTTTCTCTTTATAATCAATCAACAGCTGTAAAATGATTGTAATATGAAGCTCAGTCCGTCTGCTCTTTCAAAGTCTCTGATATCACGATCATTTTACGGTTGTTAATTGACTGTCAAAGGAAAAGAATAGTTTTGAGGTATTTTAAAAATGTGCTAAAGTCATCTGAAATAGTGTTTCAAAATATCAAATATCTTCTCATTTAAAAATGGCACCTAAGCATTTCAGCGTGTGCTGTCACAATTCAGAGCCACTGCACGAGGATCCAGGAGCTTTAAAGTTTTTACATCTATATGAATTTTTCTTGACTCTTTCCTCGCATACCGATCGTCTTTCCCATGCCAGTCATGCTGCCGCTGATGTCCATCAGGATAACCATGTCCTTGCTGCATGTGGTCGCTTCGATGAACCAACTGCGCACCCTGCAGTCATAGAGATCTGGATTGTCGTCATTATCCTCGACGCCCGTTCGCCATTGCATGGCGGGATATTGTCTGAGCACACCGGTGACCGAACCGAAATACTGCCACGATAATGCCGGATCGGATTCGTAATTCTGACGAAACGTTTCGTCCAACAGCTCGGTCTTCGCGATGTCCTCCTTGATATCGTCCATGAAATCGAATACGTTGGTTGGTATGTGTACCGACGAGTAGCTCGTATTCACCGGAATATTGTAAAAATGCGAGTCCGCGTTCAGTTCCATCTCTCTGGAATCAATTCGCAATACATGAAAATTCTTGTCCATTTTAATTATAAATTAAACATTCAGAAAAACATGTTTATCTGTCAAAATTCGTATTATTCCATTTGTGTCATCTACTCTTTAACTCGCCGAAATCTATGGCTTGTGACATCAGTCGCAATGATGTCGTGACTAATTCTGGTCTAATAGGGGAACTTAAAAGAAGAAACATGAAGGATGACCGAGCGAATCGCTCACCTGTACGCGCTGTCGTTCTTCAGCTTCACGCACTGGCTGTCCTCGATTGAATTACCGTTGACAGGGCTGCACTTGCCGGAAACATAGGAGAAATTTCCGTCCGCGAGAGACGTATTGTCCCAGTTCTCCGCCACTGCTTCGGCCGCTATTCGAATACAGGTGATTGCGTCCATCTTTCGGCGCAGCATCCTACCCACATTCTCGCTGATTATGCTGACCAATTCTTCTCCGGACTTGTCCTCGACTCGCGTGTTCATGCTCTTGTATTTCTACGGGAATTATCAGTCACGCTTGCTTATTCTCTCTCTCACGCTTTATTCGATTATTAGAAAAACATACAAGAAATTTGAAAATTGTATAAAGAGAAGAGATGTTTGAAAAAAAATATATTATATAAATATTTTTATATAATTATTAAAAATATATAATTATTTTTCTCTATATGATAAATTTTCTCTGTGAAAAAAGCAAAATTATATGCAATATACTTATGCTGCATGTTAAAAATAATTTACATAAATACCAAAATAATTTAAATTCATTGCTGTGCAAAGATGATATAGAGTGCAGAGATATATAAGAGATTATATCATATCGTGTGAGATTCCTCGAATCTTCATCATCTGATGCTTATATCATCTCAGGTAAATATCTCATATACTCACTTCCAGCAATTCCTCGGGTCGAGCAATTTCGTTTGCGAGTTCCCACAATTCGATGCCCAAATTGTCCGCCCATCTGCCCACGCTAAAAGAAAAAATAAATTGCGAGTATTGACATATCGTGCAATTAATAAATAATTGTTTATGAGTTCTACAAATTCTTTTTTATTCCTTCTAGTGTTTCTTCTGCAAATATGTTCTCGTAGAAAGAGCGACTGAGAACTGATAAAGAAGTGCATACGTTAGATATAAATACGAAACCTCATATGACGTTACAAACAAAAAGATAAACAAGAAAGCAAGAATCTTATTCATCATTTGTAAAATATAGTCTATTTGATTTTTTTGTTACTAATTGATATACTGAGAGTCGAAAGGTTCAAAATAATTTTGTCGTACCTAATATTTGTATCTGGTACTTATATATTGTTTTTTTTCATACCTGAATTTATATTTATATATCAGAGCCTTTTCAATTTATTATTACATTTAATTAAATTTCAGTTTAAATTTGCAGAGTCTAATATGAAGACGACTCATTATTTCTCTTTAGAAAGAATTCATTTGAACAAAGGTAAATTGCGCAAAAAAGATTACGACGCGACAGGTCGTGGATTGATCAAGCGTCCCAGTTTATGATTTTCTTGTCGCACATCATCTTTGCATTTCTATGCGGAACTCACATGTGCGCATCTTTGGCCAGACATACGGCGAACATCAGCGCGAAACAAGAGACGAGGAGACATCGACCTATCGTCGTCGGCATATGAGCAAAACTAAACTGCGTCTGCTCTTCCTTCCTCCGCGGATGAATATATATATATTCGTTTCCGATCAAACGCGTATGTAAAACGCCTCGCCGCTCTTTAAGACCCTTTAAGAGAGCACGAAAAATCTCCGAAAGCTCGCGAGATCGGACGGCGTCTGCCACTGGGACAAGCCGGCTACTCGAGATTCGACAGCCTCCGCTCCGAATTATTTTTGGCGCTCGAGCTGCGCCGTCTCTTTCTCTCCTTTTCGGGGATTTTTCCTCACTTTCTGGCATAGAACACCCTATCCAGAGGTATTAATAAAATCATGTCGGCTGTTCACGAAAGCGGCGTTTTCGAAAAATTTAAAGCGGGGAAGATCGCTAGAAATTGATATGATTTTCATCACAAATCTGTGATTCTCTCCTAACAGCACAACGTATCTAAAATTCGTTCAGAGGATATCCAGAGGACATCTGATATCCTCTGGATGTCGTTTAGATGTTCTCTAAACGTCTTTTGGATATGTTGTTGCTATTAGGGATTCAAAATCGGAAGAACTACCTTAACACTGAACATCATACATATCCAAAAGACATTCAAAGGATATCTAGAGGTCATTCAGAGGATGTTTGAATGTTCTCTGAATATCCTTTGAATGTCTTTCGGATATGTGCTGTTAAGTGTTAGGGTGGTTCTTCTGATTTTCGAATCCTAACGACATAATATATCCGAAGGACATTCAGAGAACATCTAGAGAACATCAAGCATCCTCTGGATGTACTCTGGATATTCTCTGAACGTCTTTCAATTATGTATGCCGTTAGGTGTTAGAATAGTTCTTCTGATCTTCGATTGTTAACAGCATAACATATCCGAAAGACATTTAGAGAACATCCAGAGGATGTTTGGATATCCTTCGGATATGTTGAGCTGTTAGCTTCATCCGAGACATCGCGGAGAACTCGTTTCTTTCAACACTTTCATTTATTCGTTTTCAGTTATTTATTATGGGAAACAATTAGAAAATAAATTAGAAAATAAATGAAAAAATAAATTAATTATTCGATGCATGCATATGATTAACGACCAATCAGGAAGCCGACTCTATTCTGTACCCGCTGGCACTTGGAGAAAATCGAAAGTATTGTGAAGTCGAAAGTCGTGTCAAAAGTCATGGAAGTTTCAACGAGTCCACACGAATGACGCAAATTATCCTTCTGGCCAAAGATCGTCGTTACATATATATGTGATAATTAAATATTAGATCTTGTTTTTCAAACGGATTTCAGTAATTATCGTAATTGCTATCTAGTTAATAGCTGTGTATTCTTTCAATGTAAAACTGATTTCTTTTTGCACGTAATAATAAAAATTTTTTTACACATGAATGACGTTTCGGTGTGTAAATTATCCGTTTGTAATGGTCAACGGTCACTGTTATATATATGATAATTAAATAATGAACATTGTTTTCTAGATCTCCAGTAATTATCGTAACTGCGATCTAGCGCATCGCTATTTTCTATGTAAAATAATTTTTTCTTGCACATATAATGGAGATTTTTTAAAGTGCAACGTCACATTTCTTTTCTCTACCTCGACATATGTATGTGTGTGTGTGTAATTTATACATATCTCATTTAAAAATCATAAATTTGTGTATGTGCGGCTACGCAATTATCGTGTATTACATTTCTAAAATAAGAATACGCTGTAAGCTATGCAAATGTATATATAAAATAATATATAAATGTATATGTAAAGTGATTTTTGTTCAACAAAATGAGATAAAAGAATTTGATCAAATTTAATGAATTCATAATTCCAAGGTAGTTATTCAAGCCAATTAAAGAAATTACGTAGGAACAAACGGTCTGGAACCGGTATATTACGTATTAAAACTATACTAGTATAGATTACAATATAAGGAAAGTATATCTGCTTTCATTGTTTTCACTTTTTATAAATTGTCTCGTATTACAACACATGTATCATAAAATATCACATCCGGGAATCGAATAAAATAATATATAGTTTCCCAGAAAATTATCGACATAAAATCGTACGAAAGTAGTGTGTGTGTAATTGTGCATCCAGACGCGCTTATCGTCTCACGCATTGTCGTGTGACACGATATCTGCAATTTTGCAATCATTATGCACGTACGTGCATTGTGAAACTAAAGCATTCTCGGAAACAGAGGGGTTGCCTTCGAGGGTATTCTTTTGTCTCGCCAGCTCATACGTAAGGTATCCCCCAGGGATATGTGATTAAACGTTTTACGATACAAACGTTTTATAATTTGAAAAAAATTTATTTAATAAATTAATTTGAGAAAATTAGAGAACTTAGAATGCATATATAATTATTCTATAAAAGTTGAAAGTCACGTAATCACATAGTCGGATAGTTCAAGAGTTCAACAGTCCTGAAGCTAACAGATCAGCGTATTCTATCTGCAGATTAGTTTAAAGCAAATTTTTGGGCTAAAAAGAGTATTAAAAAATATTTAAAATATTTAAAAAATAAAAATTGTTGGCAAGAAAAGTAAATTAAATTTTTATTTTTTAATATACAGGGTGTCTGACATAAAGTGTCACACCGAAAATATATAAGTAGATCTCGTTATTTGGAGATAATTTTTCCTCAGCAAAAATGTCGAGGGAGGCCATCATTTTTGGATGTTCCTAATTTTTACCATCATGTATCTTTATAACTGAATCTTAAATTAAAATTTTATTAAAGTAAACTCTACTTGAATTAATTGGAGAATGTGGTTTTGTTAATATTTTATTTTCACAAGGCTTAGTTTGCGAAAAACCCTTTATTTTCAATCGCTTATAATTCGAAAATTATTAATGCTTCTATATTTTTGCTGAGGAAAAATTGTCTCTAAATAACAAAATTTACTTGTATATTTTCAGTGTGACACCTTATGTCAGACATCCTGTGTATAATATATATACGCATATTAAAAATAAAAAATTTGTACATTCTATTAAGTGGAACAATTTAATTACACATTTATATTCAATCAGATATTTATTAAGTTAATTTGAAAAAAAATTGTTTTTTAAATCGTTAATCAATTCCTTTTAAAATTAAAAATAGCAAAATACGATAAATAAGTCATATTCATGTTACTGTATAATAGCAAAGTTATCTATAGTTTTAAAAAGGTCATGACGGTATTACTGCAGTCATTAAATTGGTGGCCTGACAACTGCAACGTCATACATTCGTGCATTATGGAGGGATAACGCTTGTCACGTGCAAAAATTAAGAACAAGCTGCATTCAATGCTAACTTCACAACAAGTTTTTACAGATGTACACTAACTCTCAAAAGTCGAAACATTGTTTTCTGTCCTTAATTCTTGTCCATTAATTTCTGTCCTTAATTTTTGTCCATTAATTTCTGTCCATAATTCTTGATCAAAATTATGTTTACATTTCGAACACATAATTATTTTATTAAAGATATTGAAATTTATAAGTATGAGTTTGGGCAAAGTTTGAGAAATTGCAAAAATTATGAATACTTATAAATTAAAAATATTAATTAAATTTCTTCTCGCAATTAGATGTTCCTTTAAACTTTTGAACTGCATATATATATATATATATATATATATTTGAATTTATATATAGAATATTTAAAAATATAATAAAAATATTATATACTCTTTTTCCTCCTTTTTCTCCACAAATATTTTCAATATTGATTTCAATATTGAGACAATTGCAATCATAGTGCGAAAGAATTTTATTTACAGAAAAATATTCATAGATAAATATTCATAGATCTTTACCGGTGTATACTTTTTCTCGTTATAAAATACAGGAAATACAGGAATACAGAAAAATTACACATATAAACACGGGAAAATTTAATTAATTTTACGAGATTTATACTACTTCCACTATAATTATTTCAAGTTTTTTTCTAAATCGTTGCTTTTGACGGACAACAAAATTCAAAGGACGTTTCAGTGCATCTAAAATAAATATAAAATAATCCAACAAAAGTGGAAACCCGTAAAACGTTCGCGACTATAAATGACGACTATATAGTTCAATTTTACGAGGCAGAGAAAGGAGGAGGTGGAAAGAAGAGTAGGAGAATATGCTTCCTTCTTTGGCTGGGAATGGCGAAAAATTCATTCAACCGAGTCCGGCACGTGGCCGTACTGAAAGAAGCCCGGAGAGAAAACAAGATTCTCTTGAGCGCCGCGATGCTAAGTCAAGTGATAAATATTAATCGTCGTTAAAAGACACGTTAAGGGGGACGTGGTATATATTCGCGGACATGCGGCGTGCGCATTGACGATATAAGTGGAGTGTTCATCACCGGTTGTCATTGCGTGATCGCGTCCGATCTCGTTAATTCGCGAAGGTGAAATCCTCCGCGAGATCATCAGAAATATGGATTCGGATAACAGCGATCAAAATTGGCAGGCGAACGGCCGGCGACGACAGGATTACTACGAGTTGAAAAACGCAGATTGCGAAGAATTAAACACGTGGTTCCAGGTTAAAATGAAGGATCCGCTCGATATCACGGATGTCACCTCTTATTATGGTATTTATGACATAATGCGCGATCCAATAATTAACGCGATATGAGACCCCACTTTCCCGAACAGGAAAGATTATATATTTTGTGATTTTACAAAAATTTATTTGCCCTGACACATTAATATATCCGGTATGATCGCGATTTGCCGGATTATTGAATTACTCAACAACTATTCGGATAATTCCAATTTTTATATCTACAAAAATTTATTTATCCTAATATGCAACACTGTTTTAATTCGTATTTAAATTGTATATTACAAAAAAATTAGACTCTCGCAGTGTATAAAGCAAACTTATTAAATATTATATATATATATACAACACAATGCAATAATAAAATAAATTTTATATTATTTTTTTTTGTAAATATATAGGGTATCAGTTTTAAAATTCGCGACTCAAAATATCATAACAAAAGTCTGAATATTGCGCAGGACTGTAACAGTATAGCATGACTTCGATATCAGTTAATTGTAATCTGTAATTGGCCAATTTTTAATTATTTTACCTTAAACTATACTAAAAAACTGTAAATATATATACAATATATAAATATTACATACATATATATGTATTTCAAATTAAATTAAATGTTCATCGCGCGCATGTGTATGTAATAAAAATTTATTATATATAATACATATAAAATATAACATAAATCGTGTATATTTTATGCATCATGTTATATTCATATGACGGTCAATGATTTCCAATAATTACGCCACGGCCTATTTATCGAATATTAATCGATTATGAAGAAATACGAGTTTATCAAATAATATGCAATTTCTATCTACAGTTACGATATTTCTTACTGTAAAGATTATTTTTTTTTATCGGTGAAAAATGCGGAGGAATTGTTCACGAGACATAGATGTGGACTACGCGTGTTGCTGCGGAAGAAAACCATTTTCAGCAATTTATTTAACAAAGTGTTATTATAAAAACTCTGTCATGAACGAAAAATTATGTAATCGAAAGCGTTTCCGGACATATGTTTATATGATTTTCTTTCATCTACAATTAGAATGTGCTCTCAAGATTTGATCACTTATTTGATCACTTTATTATTTCATAAAATCACATCCTAAGAATTATATACAATTTTAAAAGATTTCGGCATATTGCGTTTTGCATTTTCTGTATCAAGACTTGAATTACTTGGATAATTCGAATACTCAGATTTAAATAATTCAGATAATTATTTCGGATAATTTCAAGATTAAATATCCTGATATTCAGAGCCTTATTCTCATTAGATAGTGAGTTAGTGCATTTATGCAATACATAATATATAAATTATATACTTACTATTACTGTAATACATAAACTTTATCTAAATAAAGAGAAATTTTAATATAAACAAAACATATTGTGATAAAATTTAATTTCTCGTAATTATAAAAAATTTATTTATAAATATTTTTAAAGATATATAAATATTTTTATATAATCATTTTCCTCGAAGAAAAGAAATAATCATTTATTGAAAAATTGACTTGATTCAAGATGAAATTATAGTGATATTCTTCATCAAAAACCTCAATATAAGATTAAAGTTAGGCTAGGTCAGCCAAAATTGCATATACAGTTAGGAAACCAGAGACATATGACGCAGCATAAACGCGGTAATACATGCATTCTCAGTACAAAGACATGTCAACAGGAAATAAATAGTTCTAGAAATACTATGCACAGAACACTGTACAAATATATTAAAGAAATATTGCATTCTTATGAATAAAAATATATAGCGGTTCGTTAAATGCATCTCCGCAAAAAAATTAAATATTTTTGTTTTCAATAATTTAATAAATATAAGCAGAATATAAAATAAATTAATGTAATTGAATGGCAATAAAAGCTAAGCGCATTAATTTAAGAGGTTTATATCATTTTAGTGAATTATTAGATTAACATAAAAAATATAAAAAATCATGGACGTTTCGATCTCTTCTTTGAAGAACCATTTTCATATTAAACAATAAATACGATAAATTATAAATATTATATATATAAGTTGAAAACCAATTAAAAATTAATTAGGCAACAAAGTAATTAAAATTTTTGCACATTACAATCTTACGTCGTATTGACATAAAAATATCCACAAGTCTTTATTATATATATGTGGATGATTATCTTTTCTTTTTCAGTATCTACACATTAAATATTTTTAATTCGTTTCATTCGTAACTGGGATTCACTATAGAAATGAGCTTGGAAAATAAATTGAATTATTTGGTTTATTTTGACATTACAGAATATCCGAATAATATTGGTTTCATGGAGCAACATTTTCAGGAAGATATTTGAATTCTTTGTCACAGCTTTTACTTTGCCAAAAGAAGTATAGGATTTTAGGTTTGATAGTCTAATTTATTGGTATTGAATTAAATATTCAGTTTTTCTTAAATCTCTTATGTCATTTATATCGAATGATTCGTGATTATTATAGGCATCATTGAAAAAATATTTCTTTTGAAATGTGCCTTTTGGTCGAGCAACTGGAAAGCGATATAATGTAAAAAATATTGATGATGCTTTTTAATCGATAGTTTAAAATAATATTTTTGTAACATGGACGACGCGTAAAGAAGTTAAAATTCAAAAAATTTCAATTCTTTGTTGACTAATTAATTTTTAACCGGTTTCAATTTATTTACATACTGTAATTTATAATATTTATCGTATTTATCGTTTGATATGCTAATGATATATTATGTATTACATAAATGCACTAACTCACTATCTAATAAGAATAAAGCTCTGAATATCAGGATATTTAATCTTGAAATTATTCGAAATAATTATCTGAATTATTTAAATCTGAGATGCTAATGATAAAGAAAGGATCGAAGCAAAAACCGCAGTTTTCTATGATTTTTATGTTAATCTGATAATTCAATAGAATAATATGTCTTGATTACTATAATGTGCTTGGCCCTTATTGCCATTAATTATCTGAATTTACGGAATAATCCAGATTAAGATTAATCGGTTTTATTTCTACACATCAGCATGTCCGATTTATTATTTTGCCCCAAAATATCAACCACGGGATTGATTATAACCGCGACAATCTTCTGATCACTTTGTTTCAACTTATAATTTTCATAATTCATAATTTTTTGTAATTGTCATAATTTTCATAATTTTTCATAATTTTATAATTTTTATAATTTCAAATAATATACAATTGCCTCTCAAACTATGTTTTTTCAAGCAATTTTCGTCAAAGATTTTAAGCGCGAATCCTTGGCGATTAACAGCATGATCTTCCGTTCACGTTGCCTCGGACACGTGTCCACGTCGGTCCGAGAGTGGGGATTCCTCTGTACGGGGAACGACATATGATGTGGGTTCGCATCGATCTGGGGAGGGAAACTCTGCGCGCCGGTGTTCACCCTGGGATTGATATTGATTGCGAGCACGCGGTGCCGATTGCCGGGTAGTTGGCAGCTAGGCGTATATCGAGCAGGAGAGTTCGACTCGAGTGGAGAGAGAGAGAACAAAAGAAAAGAAATGCCTCCCAAGTGCGAGGAAATCGAGATCCGCGGAATGTTGGACAGGAGCGAGTGCTCGGTCGACCGAACCGCCGTGAACAAGTCTTCGCCGAAGTTACCCGCGTTATGCGGTGCGTGTTTCCGTCATTTTTTCTTCTTCCCTAGATAGTGCCTAGCAAAATCCTCGATTTTTCTGTCAGATGATCGTCGGATCATGGCGAGAATCTCTAACAGCACGTATATCTTATGCCTTATCTACACCTGAAGATAATCCTACTTGTGGCTTATTTCAGTGAGTGGTATAAAAACGACCAAAAACCATACTGAAGTTAATTTCCAATCGTAAATTCTTTGGATTGTGATATAATTCAAAACCAACTTCAGTATGGTTTTTGATCTTTTATCGTCATTCGTTGTGCCCTATCTACACCTAAAGATAATCCTACTTGTGGCTTATTTCAGTGAGTGGTATAAAAACGACCAAAAACTATACTGAAGTTTGTTTTCAATCATAAATTTTTTTGGATTGTGATATAATTCAAAACCAACTTCAGTATGGTTTTTGATCGTTTATACTACTCTCTGGAATAAATCACAAATAAGATTATCTTTAGTATAGATAGGGCATTAAAGACGTTCAGAGGACAACCAGAGATTATTTAAATTTCTCTGGATATCCTTCGAATTCTATCTTTCGGATATCTTGTGCTGTTAGGGAATCTATAAAATCTTCGCAGTAATCCGGAGATTTAAAATGTCACGGGTTTAAAATGACGATTCACTGTCGCAATGGTCCGAAAATCGAAGTGTCAAAACTCGGGAATAAAAAAATCGCGAGATAAAATCTTTGGTGGTGCATTATAGTATGTTTATATCGTAAATAGCTTGATAAATGTATGTGATAATTTCATGAACTTTGCTGAATAATTTTTGACACGTCGAGCGATCGCTTGATGATTTGTCGACGCTACACAATTGTGTCCAGTTAAAAGTTGGAAGAAAAGATGAAAGAGGCGCTTGTGCATGGATGTGTAAATGTGTGTTTGTACAATGCAACTGGCCGAATGCATCTAATGCATCAATCGACAGAGGAATTATAAATCTTGATACGTACACAGTTGGTTTCCAAAATTTTTATTGAACTTTTTTCTAAAAACTATTAAACCTCAATTAATATATCGACCGCGAAACATATCTTGACTAAAAAACAGTTGTGTAAACACAGAAGTGACTTGAATCGCAAAAGTTAAATTTAAAGACATTCAGTAATATATTTAACAACCACACTTGAAAAACAAAAATATATTGTTCGGAGACCAAATTATTACTGACCTATAGAAACGTGATTTTTAAAAATATTTTGAATATAAAAATATTTTTAATTTAAAAAATACAATAATCAAAATATATCTATATATAAAGACGTGTAAGTATCTTGAAATGACATAGAGATATCTATATCATGTTTTTCCTGCCCAACTGTCACGAATCGTGT